TTCCCATGTTCTGATTGCTTTCCTTGCCTGGTGGATTCATTCTTTTGGGATTCATGGAGTTGTAGCCCTTGTTAACTCTTTCTAGAATGCCTTTGGATCATTTTGGAGTGCTGGTTGGTGGTCTTGAATTTCTTCAGTGTTTTGTCATGGAAGTATCTTATTTCTCTTTCAGTTTTGATAGATAGTTTTGTGGGGTAAACCAATCTGCACTAGAAGTTGTTTTCTTTAAGAGCTTGAAATATTTTACTCCAAACTCTCCTTGACTTGAGGGTTTGTGTTGAGAAGTCTGCTGTGATTCTGATGGTCTTTCCTTTATAGGTGGTTTGTTTCTTTTCTCTAACAGCTTTTAATATTCTGTTCTTGTGTTGAATCTCTGAAATCTTAACTATTATATGTTTTGGTATTGATTATTTTTTTATCATGGCTAATTGGATTTCTAAATGCCTCACTTATTGTATGTCAAATTCTTTTTCCATGCTTAGAAAGTTTTCTGCCATTACTTCTATGAACAAGTTTTTTTTAATGTTGTTTGCACTCTCCCCTTTTGTCTCATTGACTGCAATCTTCTTTGCACCATATAGCAGCTGTTGGATTGATTTTTTATGGTCCCTTGCTATTTTTAAGAAATTTTTCTTTTCATGATTGCTAACTACAATCCTGTCTTCTATATCTAATATTCTGTCCTCACATTAGCTCATTCTGCTGAGTATACTTTCAGTGGAATTTTTAATCTCCTCGATATCTGTTTGAATGTTTCATGAATTGCTTTTTTTTCCTATTTTCATGCTGTCCGTAATTTTAAAAAGATCCTCTATTTTTTTAAATCTGTATTTGCTGTAGGATCACTGAGCATGTCTTTCATTATCATCACTATCTCTGTAGTTATCTGAGAAATTATTTCTGATGTGATTTTTTTTCTAGAACCTCATTCATCTGCTTTGTTACTTCCTCTGTTACGACTTCAGAGAGTCTAGGTGGGTGGCTTTTGAATTGTTCCAACTCATTTTCCCCTGGGTTTGCCTCTGATAAATTGGAAGTCTGGAATTGCATCTTGCTTAAGTGTTTTTTTCATTTTCTTTCTTTTTAAAAAAATATTTAACCCCTGGGTCGATGCTTTTAAATTTCTAATAGTAGATTGCTTTATTGCTAGTATTTAGAAACCTTAGGAAATGACTATTTCTCAGTGATGTCTTCCAGGTGTAGCTGGCTTTTGGATTTTGAATTTGTTGCAAGATCCTGCCTCTTCAATTTATTGGGGTTGAGAAGTTCCTGCCTATTTGGCCTACTCCCTGGTTCTTTGGCACTGGCCTGTAGTATTTTATTTTGTTTTATCTTTTGCTTTTTTTTTTTTTTTTTTTTTTTTTTTTTTTTTTTTTTTTTTTTTTTTTTTTTTTTTTTTTTTTTTTTTTTTTTTTTTTGGTACCTGAGCTTGAACTCGGGCCTTTGTGCTTGAAAGGCAGGTGGTGGAACCACTGAGCCAAATCCCCGGCCCTGACCTGTAGTATTATTTATAACACTTAGACAATTTCAGTCGTGGTATACCAGGAAGAACAACTGATTAAGACCTGCATGTGTGTCTTCTTCAGAACTTTAGAATTTATTCCAGTGATCATTTTGGTTGCAGGAAGCTGGGCTACTGTGTCCATCCAGCTGAAGTGCCTTCCTAGGGTTTATAATTAAGAGTGAAATGGATTTAAATTTGAAATGCTGAGAATAAAGGAGGTGCTCACCACTTATCCTCAGATATTTACTTCTGTTTTGTACATTTTGGATGATTTCACACCATGGATTGCTTGACTGGTGGAGCTCCATGACTTTGCCTTTTTTTCCCTGGTACTGGGGATTAAGCCCAGAGCCTTTGTACAGAGCTGCTTCCCCAGCCCTTTTTTATTTTGGGCATGGTCTTGCCAAATTGCTGATTTGCTCAAACTTGGCTGGAACTTCCGATCCTCTTGCCTTAGTCCCTGTGTGCAGGGGATTACAGGTATGCACCACTATGCACAGCCCTTTTGCTAATTTAAAAGAGAGCATTCTAGCAAAAAAGAAAGTTGTTGAAGGCAAGTTTGACCTCGGGATTTGCAGCAGCTACTGAGAGTTTATTTTAGCATTATATTATATGTGTTTCCCAGAGTCAGGGAGGGAAGAGAAAACAGGGCCGGAGGGGAAGCCTGCAGGCTGACTTTATGGAGGAACTTTGACACACAGGAAGAGTACTGTTTTTCTTTCCAGGGCTGTCTGAGCCAGAACAGAGTCACAGTGGCAGCTCTGGCAACCGTTAGCAGCTGTTGTCAAAATTAACATTGCCACCTTCCAGTCCACATAGAGGCTCTGTAGAGGTGACAGGAAGGGGATGCAGGAAAGAGCTGTGTGGCCCATGGTGTCATCCTGTCCTTCATCCAGAAGTGTCTGTGGGTAACCGAGACCATTAGGACTGCCACCCCTTGGAGCCTTGGCCTTGGCAGGCGGCGAGGCGAGGGGGAGTGTCCAGGACTCTGGGGCTGTTACTGTCTTCCTTTCAACTTCCAAATCAGACATTTCCTCCCAAGTCGGACTGTCTTTAGGATGCCTGTTGAGCCTTCTCAGGCCTGTCCTGGCTGCACTATGTTTTTTGAATCTTAGAGAGTGTTCATTTTTCTCCTAGGTGCATGCATTAGCAAATATCAGGGAGCAAGTAAGTCCTTGAGGTGAAGCCGCCAAGGTCCCTAGCTGTGTCCTCAGATGGGAGGTACCTGGTTCCCAGTGTGTCACTGGGCATGGTGGCACACACCTATACTCTCACGTACTCAATAGGCTGAGGCAGAAGGATCATAAATTCAGACCAGCCCAGAATTTTGAGATCCTGTCTCAAAATAAAATAAGAAGGACTGGAGAAATAACTCAGTGGTACAGTGCTTGTGTGGTGTGTATGGGATCCTGGTTCAGCCCCTGGTACTACAGAAAGGGAAAAGAAAAAGGGTGTTTTATGTACTTCCATATGAACCAAGACCTGGCCTCTCAGTACTTTTAAGCCTGTACACCATGGTGTGGACCTTGTGTCTCTCTTGTCCTTTGCTCAGAGTCTGTATCCTTTACCCTGGTACTCCTGGGAAGGGCTGTTTGTGTGGCTGTTCTGTGGGGGTATCCTGGTGCAGGGTCTGGTGTGTGTCCTCTTGGCTGTCCCACAGCGGGAAAGGGAGGATGTCTTAGTTACCTCCTTGTTGCTGGGAAAAAATACCCAATACCTACAAGTTGAAGGAGGAGAGGTTTATTTTGGCTCACAGCTTGTAGAGGTTTCAGCCCAGAGTTGGCTGGCTTCAAGGCAGGGCAGCATGCCTGAGGGACATGACAGAGGAGAAATAGTTCATGCAGGGCAGACAGGAAGCAGGAAGTAGTGAGCCTTCCTTTCCCTTTCCCAGGCTACAAGCTTATTGGTTGGTGGCACTCACACCCAGGATGGCCCTTCCCATTTTCCATAGCCAGCACTGTGCTAAACCAGTCCGTGGATTAATCCAGTATCACACTCATAATCCAATGTCACACACCCATGACCCAGCCACTTCACAGAAGCCACATCTATGAGTGATGAGGCTTTGGTGGGACATCTAGATATAAACCATAACAGAGGAGGAGGAGGGAGGCAAGGTCAGATGGATGTACATGCTACCTGTGGCACACTGGTCAGGCCGGTGTTGCCAGTGGATGATGCTGCCATGGTCCTGAGCAAAGGCCTCACCCTTCAGCTCCTAGTCACAGGAGCCCACCCAAAACAAGGAAGGGGACCTGGGAGTGGTCCCACCATTGGCCTTAGCACTGACCTATAGGCAGGCCATGGAAGGAGTCATCTGAGACCAGTGTGGTCCCTGCCTAGAAGAGCAGGCTCAAGGTGGCTGCAGGGCTTCTGCTGCAGGAGCATTCCAGCCTGGGACTGCGGCGACCAGCTCCTCCTGCAGCCCCGGCCCCCTGCGGGCTGCAGATGCGCAGGCGGCTTGGCCTTCTGCAGGGAAGGGCAGAGCTCAGCCGAGGCTCTAGCTCCAGTAAAGCAGCTCTCCTGGCTGCATATTGGCCTCCTTTCTGGCTTTTGGTTTTGTTTGGAATGGCTAGAGGACAGGATGCCACAGATGGAGACAAGGCTGCGTGGAGGGGACTCGGCAGAGAATTCAGGGAAGAAAGCACTGGTGTCAACTGGAAGCAGTGAATGGTTTCCAAGCTTCCATCCATCCTGTCTGTCAGCCTTCCTAGCAACAGCAGTTTAGAGAGCGCTTCCTGCATTTGTGAGCATGAGATTTTTAAGGTTTTTTGGGGGTGTGCGTTATTCCTTGCTGTATGTACATGTGTTTATGTTTGTGTGTCTCAATGTTGTACATGTCCAGTGCAGTGTTTGTGTGTGTTTGTGTGCATGTGTGTGTTTGTGTGTGGTTACATTTGTGTGTGTGCATTGGCGTGTTGCCTGCTCTGGCTTGGCAGTGTCCAAGGCGGTCTTTGGAGATGGCAGCTATGCTGTCACAGAAGCTGACCAGCACAGTGACGTGGTAAGTTGACTGGGTCCTCCTTTTAAAGTGAGGGAGGACAGTGACCAATTGGCTCCATCTCATCTAGTCAGTACACCCTTGTTTGGGAAGTCTGAGCCTGGCACACAGGGTAGATTGTTGACTGGGCGGGGCTAATGCTGCAGAGGGGAGAGTGTTTGGTGGGCTTAGTACCCAGGGCCATGGTGCAAGCTGAGGTGTGTCATTGGGCTCCTGTAGGGCAGGTGTGATCCTATCTGAATCACAGGATGTGATATGTGGGTTGCCTGCTCTGTGGCTGCTCTGGAAGCAGTTTTTCTGGGGTGCCTCAGCTGTGCCAAGGTGTTGCCTCCCTTTTAAAGGCGTGGCCAGTGGGCAGACCCCTTTTTCTCCTGACCTGCTTTGACAGAGCAGTGACAGGTGCCAGAGGTGGCTTAGTGAGACTTGAGTCTAGCAAGACCCGGAGATGGCTGCGGTCAGACCTCTGACCCTGTACCTGTGTTGATCCTCTTTCAGGGATAAATGCCCAGGCCCGGAGGCTGCAGCGGATCCGCGCCAAGGGAACTCCAGGCCTGGCCCCAGGTGCTGCCTGCAGCTCCCCTCCACCCCTATTGCGTCGCACGGTCAGCGAGACCAGCCTGAGCCCAGGCACCATCCTGCCTGAAGCTGCTCAAGACCCTGAAGAGCCGCCACGGGATACCATGCGCTGCTCCCTGTTCCAGGCCCCACACCTGCTGCTCCTGCAGGGCTACAGCCAGCAACATGTGAGCTGCCCCAGGGCCAGGAATGTGGTCTATTGTGCCCCTGTGAGGCTGGGAGGAAATGTGGGGGGGTGAATCAGGGGCAGCAGGAGAAGGGGCATTGACCTGGGCCCTAGACCCTTGTGGAAAGCTCTCCACCCCTCTCCATACTGCTTCTCAGGCCTTCTGGGAAAGGGCATCAGCAGGTACCCAAGGCAAGAGATGGGCCAGCCTGCTCTTTGTCCTAGTGATGGTGGGTGCCAAATCATTGCTTGGTGGCAACATTTTTCTGTGCCAGACCACACTGCCCCCACCTCGCAGAGCCATTTCTTGCCATTCTGTCTTGTGCCTGGGCTTGAAGGAGTTGGTCTTAGCCACCTCCTGCTGTGTGGCAGTGCTGCTGTGTCATTTGCTCTCCAGCCTTGTTTCCTTGTCACTTCATCCTTTCCCACTCTACTGAGTGAGCACTTTCCTAAGGCTGCTGGGCTCCAATCTCAGGAGACACCTGTGGTAGCTGGGTGCTGAAGACAAGGCCTGTACACTCCATGTGGGTGACCTCAGAGCTGGACCTCACCTAGGCCTGTAGAATGTGGGTGAGTGCTGCTGTTGGCCTCAGACAGGAGTCCCAGCTGCAGAGATGGGGTAACAACCATTCTATCTTGTCCTCACCTGTGTGGTATCACAGAGGTAGCACACGCCCTGAGTTGTGCTTCTGCTTTTAGGACAGCCTGGTATATGTGCTTAACCGGGAACGACACACAGTGGGCCAGCGCACGCCCTCCAGCAAGCCGAGCATCAGCCTGGTAGCCCCTGACATCCTCCCCTTGCACTGCACCATCCGCCGGCGCCTGGCCCCAGATGGCAGCCCTGGCACAGCCAGGCTGGTGCTGGAGCCCATTGCCGGGGCACCTGTGGCTGTCAACTTCTCCACAGTGAGCCGGGGTGCTGTGGTGCTGCGACACGGTGACCTGCTCTCCCTAGGCCTCTACTACCTGCTGCTCTTTAAGGACCCTGCACAGGCCCAACTGCTGCCGGCTGCGGCCCTGGCCCACCTGCGCCCACCACAGAGCTGCAGGACATGTGGTGCTGCGCTCCGAGCCCGTGATGCTGCCTCCTGCTCACTGGCTCCTGTACCCCGGCGGCGGCGGCTGCTCCTGGAGTTTGAGCCTGTTGTGGAGGACACGCTGCTACAGAGGATCATGACCCTGATTGAGCCAGGGGGCGACGATTACAAGCTGACACCCGCCTTCCTCCTGTGCCTCTGTATCCAGCACTCAGCCACGCACTTTGAGCCTGGCACCTTTGGGCGGCTGCTGCTCAAGGTTGCCAGGAGAATCCGTGACACAGTCTGGGTGAGTGATGCAGTTGGTGTGGCCCATGCAGCAGGTCCACCAGCTGTGTCTGCTTGACGTGCGCACAAAGTCTGACTCCTCTCATTGCCTTCTCAGTGATCCAAGAGTGGGTGCAGGGCCAGGCTTCCTCACATGTTCACCTCCCAGCTGGCAGCCCTAGTAGCTTGACACTGCAGGCCGCCTTCACGGAGCTCTGGCCCTACAGGGTCCTCGTCATTTCTGCATGCTGGCCTGTACCCCTCCTCTGAGTCCCGCTCGGCCTGGTGCCTCTACATGCCCCAGTGAGGTGTCCTGGAGCTGGCAATTCAGGGAGCTCTCTCAGGCCCTTGGTTTTTTATTTTTTATGTTTTCTTCATACGGGGATCAAACTCAGGACCTTGTACTTTCAAGGCAGGCGCAGCACTACTTAACTAAATCCCTGGTCTTGTTTACAAGCATGGCACCTTGTGCTTTTTGCTGCTGAGCTTTTGCTACTATGGGCCCTGCCAGCTAGTGGTGAGGGTGCAGGCCTGGGTGGCTTTGTCCAGTGACATACTCTGCACCCAGCAGGTCCCTTGGCCTGAGCACCATGGATCTGTGGGCAGAGAATTCCTCCTTGTGGCACCTGTCTGGGACAGTGTGGGACAGTGAACAACATACCTGGCTTCCATCCACAAGAGTCTGGTCTCTCCCCCAGATACACACAGATATCCCCAGGCTTTGTTCTGGGAGGAGTCACTTACAGTGCCACCCTTTTGGGCTGGGCCAGTGCTGGAGTAGGGCCCAGGGAGCCCACAGCCTCAACCTCCCAGCCAACTCTTGTCCTCTTGGGAGCTCAATTCCCAGGACCCCAAGGGTGGCTCATTGTCACACATACATGCTCAGATACCTTCACTGATTTTGGTTGTATTCATCCTGGGCATGGTGGGAAGAAAGACCCTTACAGGAACCTGATCGATTTCTTATATTCAAACCACATTTAAAATGTTTGAAACTTTAAAAACAAAAGCCAGACTGGCTGTCCCCTCCAAAGGTTTGTGTGGATGATCATAGCCATTAGGGGTATCTGAGCCATATCTTGTGGGGTTCCCAGCTGATTATTTGATATAGGGTCCCCCATAGTGTGGCCACTGTTCAGTCACTTGCTCAGGGCCCGGCAGGTCTGCAGCATGGGAACTGCTTGCTTTGTGGCTGCTGTGACCAAGAGTTACCTGATGGTTAAAAGTTGTGAATTTTGACATCATGATCTCCATTTCCTGGGTGTGTTCTGTGCCTAGCGCTGATGAATGGCTAGATGCTCTTGCGTCTAATTAATTCTCACAGCCACCCTGATGGGGTGGATGCCATGCCCTGTGTCACAGCGGGAAGCCAAGGCCAGGAGGGCATAAGTCATTTGCCGAGGAGCATGGTGACAGATGGAGGAGCAGATTTTATCTGGTTCTCATCCTGTTTGCTCCCTCTGCACACCCGGGTCCCTGCCCTGTGTCATTGGCCTGGAAATTGAGGCTGCCTGATGGGAACCGCTTATTTGAGTCCTCAGCTTGTGGACACAGGTGTCTGAGTCAAGGTCTTCCTATGCCCCAAAGTGCTGCCCACTGGGGGCCCCTATAAATTTCACTTGCTCCCTTTGCTTCCTGAGCATGGACAGCTCTGATCCTTACTCCCCTGTCTCCTTGTATATGGCCAGCAGAGAGGGTGATGTGCATGGCATCTTATAGGAACAAGGTAGGAGAACAGCAGCCACTGAGGTTCCACTCAGCTGATTCTGGGTTGCTACCAAAGCAAGCACAGTTTCTTGAGTAGGGTTGATAGAACAGAAAACAATGGCTACGCCTGAGTCCTTGTTGGGAAATTTAAATAGTTGTGTAAATATCTAATCATATCATATATACCTCTACTTATTATTACTATGGCTGTTTAAATATGTAAATATGAAGTGTAACAGTGGAGAGTGACATTAGCCTCCGAAGCTGTGGCTTGCTTCTGTTGCAGGAAATGCTCAGGTCACAGTCAGGAATGGATGGGAAAATAGTTAAGTCCCTGGAAAATCTGCTTTCCAACATAGCTTAGGATAAATAGTACTGCAGAGCTCGGGCTGTGTGGACAGTGTGTTGCATTTCTCATAGAGATATATCTGAATGTATCCCTGTATATAGTCTTCTGTTTTCTCATATTATTTTCCTTTATAATTGTAGGAGAAAACCAAAGAACTAGCGGAGAAGCAGGCACAACTGTAAGTATGACTAGCTCATTGTTCCGCCTCTTTGTGAGTTCCGGCTTCCCAGGGAGCCTGGTCCCTAGGGACCTGCAGTTTCCTGGAGGTCAGCCCTCAGTCTCACTCCATGCTGCTGTCTGTTGAGTCCACTCCCCTCTTCTCTCCCCACCCACAAGTTCTGGGTGGGAAATTTCCCCTAGAAGAGCATCCTTAGGACCATGTGGGCAACGTCATTGGGAAGTCTTCCTGGACCCACTCCCTGGTGGCCAGGTTGAAATGGCCTGCACCCTGCCCCATTACCCCCAAGGAAAGGCCCCGCTCTGGGGCAGAGTGTTTCTCTCACCAACACCTGTCCCCGTGGAAAGGCCCTTTCTACCTTCTTCTGCCTGGGGCAGCTGGCGGGGCTGTCTGGATTATCTAGCAGATGTGCCTGCTGTGTGGGCCCCGAGGGAATCACCCTTCATGGGTAGCTTGTAAAGACAGCAGTGCCAAGTGTTTACACTGGGGACAATGCAGCATGGGAGGCAGTGAGCTGTGCACATCTACTTGTGCAAGGTCTCAGAGCCTCACAAGGCTGGTGAAAAGTCCCACAAAGCCCCTGTCGCACAGCTCTGTGCATACACCCAGGTGTGTAGTTCTCAGTGAGACGGCCCATCCAAGAGCCATACCACAGATGACACAGGCTGGTTAAGGTGGCTGCCAGGGAGGGAGGGAGAGACTGGAATCAGGTGGTATACTTATGCTGGCTTCCTGAAGTGGTATTACTGTCCCCTTCCAAAGTAGGTTCGCAGGCCCTTAGAGAGGAGGCCTCAGGTGGACACTGGGCTGGGGCCTGCCATCCTCACCACTGACAGGTGGACTCCAGCTCAGGACACCTCCCACCCACAGATTCCTGCTCCCAGGTGCCTGTCAGTGTCAGGAGCTGCAGTAATATCTGAATGCTAACAAATCGAGTGGGAGTCACGGTCTCTGGGGAGTGACGGTCTCTGGGGTCCTGGGCTGCATGGGGGACCTAGATGCTGCCTCCTAGCAGGATGGGACAGGGCTCTGCAGAAACCAGCCCTGGAGGCAGCATTTGCATCAAAAGACACCAATGCAGGATGATGGCAGGAGGGGCAGGGTGATGTCTGTGTCCTGTGGAGTTTCTGTGCTTGGGGACTTAGTAGGAGTTGGGACAGGACCAGTGTGGGTATGGGCTTTTCGAGGGATGCTTGCCCTGCCCTGTGCCAGGAAAGCCCTAGTTCTAGGACTGAGGAGGTGTGCAGTGGTGGGAGCATACCCAACCCTCCTCCTCCTCCTCCCAGGTACCATAAGACTGGAAGCTTCTGTCCTGGCGCCTGTGCAGGGGTGGCTTAAGCTGAACACTGGACCCAGCTTCCTCCAACGGGAAGAGCCAGGCCTTCCCTTCGGCAGCTGTCCACTTTCACTGAGTTTGCTGAGCATTCATCGTTAGGGCCTAAACACATCCTAGTCTCCAGCTTTTATGCAGGCTCATAGTATTAAGGTTTTTTTCCCTTTTCCTTTTAAAAATAATGAATCACTTCCAAAACAGAAATGGCAGATTGTACCAGTCACCAGGAACTCACACCTGGGCTCATGACCACTGTGTCTCTGTGTTTCTTTTTAATTGCATGCATGCAAATGACCATGGAATTTCCCTTTTGCTCTGCATCTGGGGTTGTCTATTCCCGGGACTCTCCCCAAGTCCTGGGTTCCTGGATGAAGCTCTGGGTGGCGATTGACTTCTCTGTATGGAAAGGTGTGATCTGCTATCAACAGATAAAATTCCACATGTTTGTTGTGTACCGAATCGGATCCAATGTGATTTGCAACTCATGAGGATAACAATGTCTCTGCAATTTCTGAGGATATGATGTTAGTATTGTTCTCACTCTCAGGCAGTGGCTCCTTCAAGTAGACTTTATTAGCTGCTTCAGCCCTGGTTCCCACCAGTCTACCCTGACACTTAGCTTCCACATCCCAATGAGGCCATGTGGTGCTTGTCTTTCTACACCTGGCTATGTGTTTATCTGACATGTTCCCCTCCAAGCTCACCTCGGTGTTGCTTAGGGCAGATATTCCTCTGTGTAGCTGACTGCTGTACTGTTTGTTGTCCATGTGTGCTGTGTTTTCTTTATCTGTCCAGTCACTGATAGGCACCAGGGTTTGTTTCAGTCTGGGTGGTTGTGAGTGGGGTTGCAGTGAACTTAGTGGTGCAGTTGTCGAGTTCTCATTTTGATGTCATTTCCTTCGGGTATGTCCAGGAGTGGGACTACCACACCCTACAGTAGCTGTGTATCCTCCTCCTCCCATCCTGGGGATTGACACTGAGTGACATACCCAGCCTTTATTTTTTATTTTGAGACAGGATCCCACTAAGTCACTAAGGTGCCCAGGCTGGACTTGAACTTGCAGTCCTCTTGCTCGGCCTTGCAGAGGCCTGGGATTACCGGCTGTCCCACCACGCCCACTGGCTGTAGGTATAATTGTTGAGACACTTCCACACAGCTTACTGTGTGACTTTGCTCATTGTGGTCCCAAATCTGAGCCCAGGGCTCCCCTGTGGTTTTGAGAACAGCCTTCCCAGTAGGCAAAAGGTGACACCTCCTCATAGCTTTGAACGATTTGTGTTTCCCTCTGGCGTGGTGATACGTGCTGCTGGTGTTTTAATTGAGAGCGTCCCATCTGAATTCACAGGTGAAATTAGTCTGTGAGACTGTGAGGTATGGTCAAAAACATGGTCTTTAATGTATTACAGTGAAGACACATGGCCATTACAGTAATTCCCTTCAGAACCCTCCTCGCAGTTTGAATGCACTTGTCTCATCGTTCTGGCCGTTTTCTGCAGCACTTCTGTAAGTCTTCAGTTGCACTGTCCTGGCTGCCTCCGTCTCCTGAATCGATTCAAATCATTTCCCTTTCAAGGTCACTTCGGCTTTGGGGAAGAGCCACAGTCACACAGTGCCAGATCCTGTGAGTAAGGTGAGGACTCACCATCATGTTTTTAGGAGCCTGCCTTTTCTTTGGATGGCATTCAATAGCAGCATGCACTGCATTTTTAATCACACCTTGTAAAGACACTGAGGAAAGAGTATTTCTCAAACTACTTCACAAAGTGGCAAGAACAATGGGATAAGTGTTTGAAAAGATATTTTGAGGGGGACTCATGGCAGTATGTAGTGAATATGTTGTGTTTAATGTGCTGTATGTTGTGATCGCCCCTGGCATGTTTCTGTATCTCCTGGTCTGGTTTGCCGACAGGCTCGTGGGGACACGTGCTTCAGTCCCCTGCATAGCTCCCATGGGACCGGGACCTGGGCCTCAGGGCTCACTAGTAGGCTGTGAGCACCAGAGTCAGTTCTTTAAGGATTATGGCTTTACTTAGTTTTCTGTTTCTTCTTTGTTAACTTTGATAATTTTTGTTTTCCTACAAAATCATCTATTACCTATCGTTTCAGTTATTGAGATAAAATTGTTATATTCTCTTATAGCTTTTCATCTCAATATAGTTGTAGTTTATTACCTCTATTTAATTCCTATTGTGTTTCTATCTTTTATCTTTTTCTGTCATCTCTGAGTCTCCTTCCTAAAGATTTGCCTATTAGCTGATTTAAAGAACCAGTTTTATTTTTTTGTTTACTTTTTAATTTATATTCCCAGTAGTCTCTGTATTCCCTTACGTTTGTACAGTTTCGACTGTAATTTCTTCTTTGATTCATGAATTGTTTCTTTTGATTTTTGTGTGTTTTTTCGGTACCAGGGATCGAACACGGGACCTTCCACTTGTGAGGCGAGTAGCAGCACCACTGAGCTAAATCCCCAGCCCCATTCACGAATTGTTTTGAAAGTTTTTTGAACTTCTCAATGCATGTGGTTTTCTGCAGCCATATTTTTTTACTTTTCATTTTGTTACATTTTAATAGGAATACTTGGTTTGTAAGATTTCAGGGTTTTGTTGTTAAGATTCCTTTACTAGCTAATTTGTGATCAATTTTGTGAGCATTCTATTTGTACTTCAGAGAATACTTAGTTTATTTTTTGTCTAGAGTTCAGAGTATGTTTATGAGATCAAGTTTATTATTTAACTCTATTAACTTTTTTTTCTTAATCTGTTTAAGCTCCTGTTTGGAGAAAATAAGTTAACATGTCATTCCTTATTGTAGATTTGTAAGTTTCTTTTAAAAATTCATCCCCTTTGCTTTATTTTTGTCAGTACTTTGCAGTAAGGATTGTATAGCCTTAGGAGTGTCCTTTCAAACTGTTTCTTTTAAGGTCCTGTCCTTTCTTCCTATAATTCTTATTGCCCTAAAATCTACCCCCCACCCCCACCCCATGATGATACCACATCCCTTCATTTGTTTACTTATTGCCTGGTAATTCTTTTCATTAAGTCTTTACTTTCAAATTTTTTCTGTCCTTTTATTTTTAAAAGTAATTGTTTATTCAACTGCTTATGGAAAAGTTTGGCCTGTTTGTTTTTTCTTTACTGGTGTATTGGAGATGTTTTCACTGTCTGTGTTGTGCTTCTGTTTACCATGCCTATTGCCTGTGTCCTTTTTTTTGCCTATCAAAATGGGTTTTAGAGACTCCCCCCACCCCGTGGATTCAGGGTTATTCTTACAACTAACTCCCTTCTTGCTGAACATAGATCAGAGCGCTTGGTCCCACCCATCCTGGCTGTTGCTTTATATCCTAATGACTACTCAAGCTTTGCCATTATTTCCCATGCCATCTTTTGTTTTTGTTTGGATTTATAATTTGCCTCTTCTCTCTTACCCAAGTGCTTTTGCTGCTCAGTGTTGTTTTCTTATCCTTATGTCTTAGTCCGCATTACAGGTTGTCTTTCTTGTCTGACTGAGTCATCTGGGGACTCCTGTGCAGCTATCCGTGGCCCCTGTTTGGCTGCAGTGCTGGGGGGGGTGCTCTTTCTTTTAGCATTGAAGATACAATTCCATTATTCTTAGTATCTTACCTTGCTGAGAAGTCTTGAATGTGTCTGTTGTGTGATTAGTGTCTTTTTCTCTCTTTTGTGAGCTCCTGGTCATTTTCATGTTCTGCATTTCCCCCACAGTGTTTCTGGGGGGCTTCTTGGGGTGGGGGGAGTCACACTGTCTTTATGGCCTCTCGCTTAGTGGCTCTGCCAGGTTCTGCTCTCTGCTTTCTCGGGGGATGCTTCGTACCTCCTAGCTGCTCTTGCTTATTTTATGTGTGTGCTGCATTCTCAGAGATCTCTCCTAGCTGCTCAGCTCACTACTTCTCCACTTGCCTTGTGTAACCTGCTGGTTTAAATTTTAGCAGTTTTGCTTTTTAAAAATCCATAGAGTTTAGGTGGGTGTGGTGATGCCTCTGATCCCAGCACTCGGTAGGCTAAGGCAGGAGGATCACTGTGAGTTCAATACCATCCTGAACTATATAGCAAAACCCTGTCTCAAACAAACGAACAAAAGGGTTTTCTTTGGTTTCTTTTAACCAGTTCTTTCTTCTTTTAAATCAAATACATCTTGTTCAATTTGCTTTATATCCTTTTATCTTTTCAGTCCCTTGAACTCTTGATTGTTTAGTAATTTTGTGTCTTCTGTCTCTTCATGGCTTCAATGTTGGAAGCAACAGTTCTGTGTCACCTCTCTGTACCCCCCACAGGGTGGTTGCCACACAGGTGGCATTCTGCAGTGACCAGCCCTGTGCTGGGTGTGAGAGTCCTTGCTGTCCTGAGTGCTGGTCCTGGCTCTGGGCCTAACCCTGGCTTCTGGGGCTGGCTCCTTGTCCTCCCTGGCTGTGTGGTCTCACTCTGTGACTGCAAGTGGCTGTCTCTCTTCTCCCCATCCAGTGGGCAGCAGGTGGCCCTCTGGCCTCAAAGGACCCATGGGTGAAGGCCATGGGGTTCAGGAACCTGGCTTCAAGTGGCCCCGACTCATCTGAGGCCACACAGTGTGTTGTTGCCTGTGCAGATGCCCCTGCCCCCTTCCCAGAGCACAGAGTTTTGCCAGAGGGCGAAATCTATTGGCAGTGCTTGGTCTAGGGATGTTTCTAGCCTGGGGATTCCAAGTCAGGCTTGAAATTTGAGAGCCAGTGGTCCCTTGTGAGCTGCCTTCCTGTCACTCCAGATGTTGCCCTCTTGCCCCTGCTGGGCACCAGGGCTGCTCTCCCAGTCCCCAGTGGCACGCAGCAATTTATGTTCAACAGTGTGGGGGATTGAAGCTAGGGTCTCCGAACTGAGCTACAACCCACCCAGCTTTTAAAATATTTTTATTAATTTTGAAAGAGTCTGGCTAAGTTGCTAAATTGCCCATACTGGGCCAGAACTTGAAACTCTTCTTGCCTTAGCCTTCTACTAGGCTGGGATTACAGGCGTTCACTGTCATGCTCCATTTCTATAATAAATATTTCTGGTATGTGCACACACAGGCTTATACTCTTTCACCCCAAGCCTTTGGGCTGGATGTGGGCCCAGAATATTCTGGAATTCAGGAAGATCACACAGTGGGCATGCTGGATACCTCAGGGCACCCACAACCAGACAGCACCCTGCTTATGGGTGAGCACACAGGACAGGTGTCCTGAAGACCAACAGCTCACAGAGCCCTCAGGCCTGGCGTCCTAGTGAGACCACTCCACATGATGGGGGTACAGGCTCAGTGCAACATGGATCGCACCTGCCATGGTGCCTCCACCCAGTCTGCCCAGCAGGTGGCCCTGCAGTGTCCAGAGTTTGACTCTTACTCGCCATCTTTCCTTTGCCCTAAGATATAGCTGCCTGTTCTCCTTTAGGAAGGAGGAAGCAGCACTTGCCTCACTCCTCGTTGCCCTCCTCCATTCTGGGTCTCGTGTTGCATCACTGCCTCTGTTCTCTGTGTGCTTTTTCCCCACACTCTGCAGCCTGGTGCCCTCCATCCCCTTGCCCATTAACCCTGCCACCTAAGGTCTGAGTGAGGACCCAGAAGGTGTCTGTTCCTCTTGGCCATGTCCTGATGCCATTGAGTGTGGGGAAGTTCTCTGTCTGGTGCTCTTGCCTGCCTTCTGTCCCCATCCTTGCCTGGCAGCTCTCCTTCCCAAGCTATGCCTGGCCTCCGTGTGTCCCCTCTCTGCCCTCTGTCCATGTCCCCCCAAGATCCCTGTCCACTCTGCTCCTCTGCCTTTGCCCTCTCTTCTCTCTGGGTCAGTGTTGGCTCTCCCAGGCTGCTTGGCCAGGCTGTGATTCCCTCTCTGGTCCTCACCCTGCATCTCCCTGTGCCTCTCACCCGTCCACTCCTGCCACCATCAAGCCCTCCTCCCCTTTCAGGTTAGCACCTCTGCACTTTTCTGTTCCCACAAGGTCCGGCAGGAACATGGTAGGACCCTGTGCTTGCTGTGAAGACACGAGTGAAGCAAGGGCACTGTCATAGAAAACCCCTCCCCTGCTGCCCCTAGACCCCAGACCCTGTTGACACCTTGCTGCTCCTTTCTTCCTCCCCTTTCTCTCCTTCCTTCCCTTCCTGCTTCCCTGCCTCCCTTCTTTCCTTCCTCTCATTTTCAGCCAAGCAGCTCTAGGCTGTTGTGGGCTCCTTTCCCTCCAGGAGCCTCCTTCCTGCTTTTGCCCCTTGCTCCAGATGGGCCTGGATGGGAGGGGCTGGGTTTCCCGGCATCCACCCAGGGGCCCCTGGCACGTGGCCAGCTGTCAGGTGTTGTGTGCTGGATGCTGACTCTGCTTGGTTTAACACCGAGCTCCAGGTGGCAGTGCCTGGTAGTTTTCTTTTCCAGTTGAAGCCTCTCTTCACTTTTGAGTTCAGGGTGAAATTGAGATGGGTGATAAACATTGAAAACAAAGTGGAATCAACTCTGAAGAGCCAAATTTTTCTTTTCCCAACAACACACAACTCTGTGCCTACCACATACCTGCTTGGTGCGTGTGGGTAATCCAGACCAACTTGGGAAGGACTTTGGAAAGAGCAATGCAGCCTCTGCCTTGACAGCCTGTGTAGCTTCAGAATAGCTGCAGAATAGACGATATTAAGCTGGCCTGTCTCTGTTGGAGAGCAGAACAGAGAAGGTTGGCATTGTTTTTGGACAAAAGTGATCTTAACGTCAGAGAGGACAGGTGACACCGCAGGCCTCGGGAGAATCTGGGACAGAGGGAGAATGTCAAAACCTTGCCCCTTCTCTGATCACTTGCAAACTACTTGCACACAGTCCCAGCAACATGCTGCCCCCAGACCCTGGCCTGAGTGCCCACACTGTCCCTCTTGTCCATAGCCTTCCCCTGTGACCTCCCTGTGGGCATGGGAAGCTGGAAATCCCCTTGTCTGACCCTTAGAATTCCCTAGAGAGAGACAGAAGCACATAGGTCCTGGGCCAGCCAAGTGACAGGCAGCAGGGTGCCCTCCTTGCCCTAGGCCAGTCCACATCAGATTTGGGTTGAGTACTCCCCGCTCTGGGTTACACACCTGTTTGGGATGCTCAGCAGTGTCCAGCAGATGGGATTATGGACACATAGGGACAAACATGGTAACTGTGCTGCTGGGATCCCCAGGAGGCCCTCAAAGCCTGTCCATGGGCGTTGGCGAGATGAGGAAAGATGGTAGAGGTGTGTGTTGGCATTTTAAAGTGAGGAATTACCACCTCTATCTCTCAGACATTCCCTGGGACTCATTTGGGACATTTGGGGTTCCTACTCACTTAGAGGGTAACTGATACCCATATCCTGGAGCTGGTGCTGATGCAGGAAAGATGGTACTGGTGGTGGGCATGGGGCTGCCAGTTGAAGCAGATAAAGCCCCAATGTGTCATTGTCCCCTGCAAAGGGAACCCTTTGGGGAAGGTGGCAGGCCTGGCGGGGGGAGGATGCCCCACCCCAGCTGCCCAGGAGGATCTGAGGTGCTTAGGTCTTTGCTATGGGTGCTTGGCATCTGGAAGCATCCAGAGTGGTAGCTGCTGGTTTTATTAAGTGGAGCAACAGTGCCCCTGAGGATAAAGAACCAAGCTGCAGGAGGGTTTGTGGTGGGAACGCCACGTCCCACTCTTCTGCAGATCTTAGAAGGTTTCTTTGGCTAACAGTGCCCATGCTGGGCTTTCTGATGATCACCTGTGGAACTTCAAACAATGAGCTTTGCTTGCTGCCTCTTGGTTCATCAACTTCACAACCCTTTCCTGACTTCTGCCCCGATAAAGGAAAATTTCACTATTACTTGTGCACCTCTCAAATAATTCTGTTACTGTGCATTTCCTTTTTCCTGTTCACCTAAGTAACACACAGAAGCTCCTATTTCTGGCTCTTAAATAACACATTTGAACTTACGGTTTTTGTGTTAAAAGCTATGGACCTCACTCCCATATGCACGCACTCACCTGCATGTGCACACATGCTCTCTTTTCACATCTACAGCCACTTTATTATCTAATTTCCAAGGGGAAGCTATGGATGCAATTTATTTACCAGAATCCATTCCTTGGCAACTGGCTGTCCTTCTTGCTAAGCCTGTCAGAGCCTCTGATGACTTGTGGGCAGATACCAAGTGGGTGTGTGCATAATTCCTAACTTCCAGCCTAATGTGGTGGGTGACAACAGTAGTTGTTTTTGTTCCTATTCCATGGGAACGAACTTTCTCCCGGGACAGAGCTGCAGGTGCACCCCCCACCCCACCCCATTTGTAGGCCAAGCATAATTGAGTCTTTTTCTATCTTGGTAGCCAAGAACCCATCTCCTGGGCCAGCTTCACCATGGCTGACCTAGTTCCAGACCTGCAGCATATCCTTTTCTGGATGTCTAATTCCATTGAGCTCCTGTACTTCATCCAGCAGAAATGCCCACTCTACATGCAGAGCATGGAAGAGGAGCTGGATGTCACAGGTAGGGCCCGCACTGGCACTCCCTATCAGGGTGCCATCCTCAGACTCAGTTGGCCAGCTGTGACAGCAGGTTGGGTTCCTGTCAGGGCTTTCTTGGTGCCAGGCAACAATTTGGGGGCAGCCTGTGAGACAACACTAGTGGTCTGGGCTGACTTGGCGCCTCTGTGCCCAGCACATGGGTGCTCTGTTCCATGCAGGCACCTTGACCACAGCCTTCTCAGTTCTGCTTATGGTAGGCTGGGGACACGCAAGACCCTGGGCTGCGGATAGATGCTTGTGTCGTAAACCAAATGCCAGCTCAGACAGGCACCATGTAGATTGAGTCATATTTAGAGGATAACATGTAGGAAATGTGCACTTTAGGGTTTAGGAAATATAGTAAAAGTGTTCTGCAAACACCAACTGAGAGGTGGTTCTGGCGGGAAGTCTGGGGGCTCTGTGGGGTGGCATGGAGCCAAGCCATAGGCACAGGTAGACTTCAGCTGGCATGTACCTGCTGATGGCCATGTGGGGCTGGAGCTGGCCTGGAAGGTTCTGGACAAAGCTGGGGTTCATAGCACCTGCAGTAGGACCAGTGCGCTGACAGGAACCTGGGCCCCAGGACAGAGCCGCCGGTGGGTGGCCCTGGCAGTGTCCCACACAGCTGTGTTTGGCTGTGGCTGAAATAGAGCTGCTCACTGCCTTCACATCTGTGGGGCTCTAGACTGCTCAAGCCTGGCTGGGGTGCCTGGGGGTGCTGAGCAGGGATGGCTTGGTAGCTCTGTTTCTGAGGGGCCCAGGTCACGGTGGGGTCAGCCCAGGCCTGTCTCCCTGGCTGTGTCCACCAGATATTGCTGTCCCCTGAGAAGCAGCTTGGGCTCCAGCAGAAAGAGACCCCAGGAACCAAAGCCAGCCTGGGCCTGGCAGGCTGCACTCCATGGTTCTGGGCCCTATGAGGCCTCTGGCACCTCATGGGCAGATGTCCTGAGAGCAGGGCTCTTGAAGGTGATGGGAGGGATTGGGGTGTATGTGGTACCACCTTCAGGACAGATTCCTTTCTGCTTCAGGGTCCTGGAGCTGAGCTGGCTGCTGAGACCAGAAGGGACCATGGGCCAGGGACTCTGCATAGGCTGAGGGGGAAGGCTGGGCTCTGGACATGAGGATGGGTGGGTAGGGGCAGTTTCCTTGCCCTCTCACCATGGGGGAGGTGGGGCCCTTTGGGCTGCAAGGTCACAGGACAGCAACCACTGTGAGTGTGTGGAGGGAAGCTAGGCCCCCAGCATGGGCTGTTTTGTGCAGGGCATTCCAGGCCATGGCCTGTCCCTTGTTCCTCGGATGCACATGAAGAGCAGCCAGACTGCTAGAAAGGAGTGTCACCTCTGCCTGGCTTAGCTCTCTAGAGCAAGGGCACATCATCTGCCCCGTGCCTCACTCAGTTCTGGTGTCCAGCTGCCATTGCTCCCTACCCCATTTGACTCCTGCTTCTTTTTCCTCCTCTAAGGCCTGGTTTTGCTTCCAGCTTCTCGGAAAGGGGGTGCTACCCTCATTATGCTATGTGGTAGGGCTGGGTGTGGAGGCTTTGGACAAGGAGGGCCCTTTTATTCTGGTTCCTGGGGACACTGACTCAGGGGCTAGCCCACCCACCTGAGTAACTCGAGGTCCCGCTGTGTGGCACTCTAGGCCAGTGTTCAGAGCTGCATTCTGGTCTGGGACCTTCTCCCTGCTGTGCTGGTTTCGGGACCATCACCTCTATCTCAGGGAGGAAGCGGTTTCTGGTCTGTTAGGCCTGGGTGCTGGAACACTGAGTCCGGGGCTGTGCTTGACCTGGACCCGGGAGACTCATATCCAGGATCTGACTAGGAGAGGTCACTCCCACCAGGCAAGGTCGGGGGCCACGGATCAGTCTGCCGAACTTATGTAGGAAACGGCTGTGGGACAAATCCTGCCATCAGGTATATCATGTCCCAAGAGCTGGCACAATCCCTGTCGTCAACCTGATTATATGTCTGAGCTCTTACCTAGGGGCCCTACTCTGCTCTCTGGGACACAGCCACATGGCATCCACTCAGGATCCCACACACATTCTGCCTGCGGCTCAGTGCCTGGATCTGCAGTGAGTGGGGGCTCCCAGTCCTAAGGTTCTGGATCCTTGCAGAGGTCCCCATGGGAGAAGCAGCTCAGGGGGCCCCCAGGACATTCAGCCCTATGTGATATGTAGGGGAGCCTGCTCCAGGGCTTTACCCTGCTCCCCATGGCCTCACTGCCTGCTTCCTGCCAGCTCTGCTCTGTCCCTGGGACACAGTGGCTCTGGATGCTCAGACAACTTGCAGCTCAGGGGAAGCTGCAGTCAGGCGTCTGCCTCAGATAGGCCAGTACAGGTGAAGGGACCCCACACACCTGGCTTTCAGGAGGCTGTGAAGATGTTGGGGCAGCAGTCCCTCAGGGCTGGAGTGGGCGTATAGGCCATGAGGGTTTCCTTCTTGCTGTTCCTGGACAGGGTGGTGACAGGTTCAGGTTGAATGTGGTGAGTTCTGAGGCTGGTTTATCCCATACCCAAGCCCACATGGGCACATGGTATGGAGCATTAAGGAGAGTGCTGGGCAAATGCTGGGTCAGGTCCATGCTCTTTCTGGTGCTTCATTTGGAATGGGGGTGCTCTGGGAGAGAGTCCATGGGCCTGGAGCCCAGTGACACTCAGTGGCCATCTTCCTGCAGGCTCCAAGGAGTCGTTGTTCTCCTGCACACTGACAGCCAGTGAAGAGGCCATGGCAGTGCTAGAGGAGGTGGTACTCTACGCCTTCCAGCAGTGCGTGTACTACCTCTCCAAGGTGCGGTGCTCTTCCAGGGACCTGGATATGCTCCCTCACACCACCCTCCCCAAGGTCACCCTTCTCACCTGGCAGAAACCCCGGCACAGTCTGGCCTCTTCTCTTCTCTTGAGAAGTCCTGTATGGGGCACATGGGACACCATATCACTGCCACCTCGACCCTAGCTGGTGCTGGCCCTGTGTCCTGAGCCACCTATGGTGCTTTGGGAGCATGGGGCTCCCCTTTCCCTGTCCCCATAGAGTGTTTCCAGCCCCCTTGTTGGGACCCAATCCACCAGCACATTTATACACTGCCTCTGTGAGGAACATGTACCATATGATGGCCGAGGCCAGCCCCACTGAGCCCACTCTGCCCAACCAGACTCCCTCAGGGCCTGTTCTGCAGGCTGTCCTGCCAAGCCGGGCTGGGGCTCGTTAGGTGAGGCCTTCAACCTGGTCCCGGAGCCCCTGAAGTATTATTGAAGTCTCTCTGCCCTACAGTGCCTATACGTCTGCCTCCCTGCCCTCCTGGAGTGCCCCCCATTCCAGACAGAGCACCGGGAGAGCTGGCGTGGGGGCCCTGTGTTACCCGAGGAGCTGCACCGAGTTGTGGCCGTGTACCAGGCTGCCCTGGATCTCCTGCGACAGCTTCGAGTCCACCCTGAGGTGGCCTCCCAGATGCTCGCCTACCTCTTCTTCTTTTCGGGCACACTGCTGCTCAACCAGCTGCTGGACAGGGGTAAGTGTGGCTATATGGGGCCAGGGCCGTGTGGCTTCTCAGGGATGCTCTTCTTTGGACAGGCTGGGACTGGCTGTGGTGCTGTGGGCAGGCTGAGGCCAGGGTAGGACGTGTGCCCAGAGGAGATCAAGTCTGTGCTGCCACCAAGGCTCTACCCTAAGATCCTGCCTAGCTGAGCTAATAATGTCCTCTGCCCCTGCTGGGCTTGGAGCACAGGTTACTTCCAGCCAGGGCCAATGCTGGGGACACAGAGAGGTCCACTGAGGACAAGCCATAGCACCTGTGAGGTGGCATTGGGATGACGCATGTCTGCCGGGGCCTGCAGTCTGGAGCCCAAGCTGTCACAGTGTGTCCTGCCCTGTTCCCTGCCTCCATTACCCCCGCTCTGGACAGGGCCTGGGAAGCTGAGGCAGTGTCTCAGCTGTACTGCAGCTATGCCATCCTCAGTGACCTGGGAGGGGAGAGCAGGTTCTAGGGAGCCTGGTGTGGGTTCCTGTACAGGGGTCTGCATCACCTTCCCTCTCCCTTCCCCTCCCAGGCCCCACCCTGAGTTGCTTCCACTGGCCCAGAGGTGTCCAGGCCTGTGCCCGCCTGCAGCAGCTCCTGGAGTGGGCGAGGAGCGCCGGCCTGGGGGCGGCCGGGGAGCGCTTCTTCCGGAAGCTGTCCTGCACCCTGCACCTGCTGGCCACCCCCAGCGCCCAGCTTGTACAGGTGGGGGCATCACAGCTGCATGGGAGGGGTAGGGCTGCATGGTTGCACCTTGGGCTTAGAAACTAGGTCAAGGGTGGCAGGAAAACCTTGCTTTCTAGGCCCAGAAAACTCAGTTACCTTGAAAGCTTGCAGAATGGTCCCTACTTGCATTAGGCAGGGTAATGGCCTCAGAAGTATCTGCCCAGTCCTTGTGACAGTCACTGGGCATGGGAAAGAAGACTCTGCAGATGTGATATGATTAGGAATCTTAAGAGGAAGCGGCCCTGTGTCATGCAGGTGGGCTCACGCTAATCACGCAGGTCCATAGAATGGGCCAGAGATGGAGAGTAGGAGAAGAGGGACTTGGTCCCAGTGGCTAGCTCTGCAGATAGCAGGGCTGGGAGTGCAGGGGCCCAGCTGGCAGCCAACATAGAAACGTGACTTCAGCCACAGGAAGGAATCCATAAGGGTAGGAAGTGTATCTTCCCCCTGAGCCCAAGGACACACTTTGCTGCAGACACCTTGATTTCCACTAGTGAGACTGCTGGCCTTGGGAGCCACAGGCCTGTGAGGTCACACACCCAAGGCTCTAACCACAGGTGTGTGGGCATCTGTTCCAGTGACAGGAAATCAAGACACATCTTGTCCTTTCCCCTGCCACTCACCAGCCACCATCCCTGAAAATGTCACAGATTATAATGGAAATCCAACTGAGGGCTTTTTCTTCCTGCCTGGAAAACACCGTTCAAGCTCTAGGCTGCCAGTGGCACCCACAGAGCAGCTCATGATGATGGCTGCTCTCTGAGCTGTACTGAGTGCACAGTGTGGCACTGTGCCTGAGGAGACTGGCACAGCCAGCTTAGCAGGGAGAGTAAGCCCTGCTGACTGAGGACTGGGACCCATGACATCTTGCCTGCACGCCCTGTCAGTGTGCACAGTGGCCACTGCTCATTGTGAGCCTGCAGAGTGCTGCAGGCCTCACTTCCTTGTCTCACAAAGTCCTTGCAGATTCTGCCAGCAGGCAGCCTTGTGACCCCATCAGGACAGTGTCACAGTGCTGAGGAGATTAGGATTTATGCACAGGAGCCCTCAAAGCATAGGCACCAGGCTCCCTGTTGGAGCTGAGCCCTGCCAGGCCTGGCATACTCACCCCTCTGCATCAGGGTGGTCAAGCTACAAAGATGCAGAACCCTGTGGGCCAAAGGTAAAGCAATGCTCAGTAGAAAACAAAGTGAGGACACCTGATCAGGAAGCAAGAAAGCAGTCTACAGAGAGCAGAAGGGAGGAGATGATAAACAAGAGCAAAAGTCAGGGAAACAGCAGGATTGTGGTAGAGGAAAGCAATAAAACCATGAGTTGGTACTTTAAAATCTTTAATAAAGAAATGGGAGAAGGGCCAGGGATTTAGCTCAGTGGCACAGCGCCTGCCTAGTAAGCACTAGGTCCTGAGTTCAATCCCTGGTACCAAGAAAAAAAAAAAAAAGAAAGAAAGAAAAGTGGGATAAAACATACACTGCTAGTATTAGTTGAAAAAGAAGACACCACTCAGTCTACATTAAAAATTAGTAGGAAGAGAATATTGTAATTACTGTAATGTTTATGCTGATAAATTTGACAGTTTAGATCAATTGAACAAATAAGGAAATGAGTATTAATTAAACCTAATACAAGAGGAAATAAAAATTGGAGTAGTCCTATGCATTAAGGAGATTGACTATTTTTTTTAAAAACTACTCTTCTATAGCTGGTCATGGTAGGGCACACCCCTAGTCCCCAGCTGCTCTGAAGGCTGAGGCAGGAGGATCTCAAGTTCCAGCCCAGCCCACTGGGCAACCCAGCAACTCAGTGAGACCTTGTCTGGACACAAAAAGAGGGCTGGGGATGTGGCTCAGTGTGAAGGCTGCCAAAAAATAAAAATAAAGGTAAATAAAAACAAGTTTTAGCTTGAGGATGCTATGGCTTCTGGCCATAGCTGAGTACCCCTGACAGATTATTCAAGGAGAGGAAACTCTATTACCAAATTATCCTCATAAAAATAAAGGCAAGTCATAAATAATAATGAGTCTGTGAATAAGAAAATGATGGAGATTGTTGGGAATTAAAACTGAAGCCAGAAGGGAAAGCTCAAAGGCACAGCTGGAAGATAAAGCCAAGGAAATAACAAGAGCAGAGCAGAAAGGCAAGGAACTCACAACATCAAAAAGATCCCTCCAAGGATCCCTGAACCAGCCTGAGGGTGAGGGTGAGGGCTGGCGGACTTGGCAGGAATGTGCATTCCTGGGGTCGGCCGTACAAGACTCAGGACAGTACCTGCAGTGTAGGTGTGTGATGACCATCGCCCAGGCCTCTGCATGTTAGAGGGAAAAGTAGGCAAGAGTCAAACAGAAAGAGGAAGAAAGGACAGCAAACTGAAGGAGCAGTCAGGAAGCCACATCGAACAGGAGCATCCAGACAGCAACCTGAGCGGTGAGGAGGCAGCTCGGGGACTGCCCCACACCGGGGTTAGGGAGGGACCTGATCTAGACAGCATCACTAGTAGCTTGCAGAGCAGGGTGGAAGTGAGATGACCCAGAGAGGAGCCACCTGAGCTGGAGTCCACAAGCCAAGGAGCCACCCCCTGAATCCCCAGTGCCCACCATGGTTCATCCGCCAGGACAGGAGAACGTCCAAGTCCCAGCACATGGGTGGCAGTGCCCGATCTGCACCTTGTCGTGAGGCCGGAGGGCCTGCCCCGGCAGTGAGGGGGACAAACAGCAGGAGGAATGGGCCCTAGAAAGGAAAGGAGGAGCCCAGCTGGAGACCAGAGAAGGGGTCTCACAGCAACTGCTTATTAGCAGAAAGACTGGAGACGTAGCTCAGTGTGCAGGTCCTGGGTTCAATCCCCAGTACGACAAAATAAAAGGAAAAAGGCTATCCTTACCATGAGATCAAAAAGTCAAAGTCAGTCCCACTTCAGACCTGTCTGCCTGTCATGTGCATCTCCAGCCCACTTGATTTCTTACACATGGTGTGAGATAGGGGTCAGATTTCATACCCCCAAACTCCTAGTGCCTAGCTTGTGATGAGAGTGTGTGAGGTGGCAACTGTGGTGCTATCCCCTGGTTGACCTCATACAAACCCTAGGGCTGTGTGTTCTCTGGGGAGCCCTGCCCTGTGCCTGACCTTCCTGGGAGGGCTGTGCTGGGCACTCTGTGCACCTGGAGGCCTCTGACCCAGCTCCTCCTCTCCTCCAGATGAGCTGGGCCACTCTGCGGGCCACATTCCCTGCCCTGAGCCCCGCACAGCTGCACCGGCTGCTGACCCAGTACCAGCTGGCCTCGGCCATGGGCCCTATGAGCGCCTGGGAGCCTGGAGCCCAGGACTGTCCCGATGCCTTCCAGTCAGGTGAGGCTGCTGGGGGCAGGCGGCAGGGGGCTAAGGACTGGGTGGAACCATCGTCCCTGGGGGTGGCTATGCAGCCACAGGTACCTGCTTCTCAGAGTTGGGAGTGTATACCTCCTGCCCCACAAGACCATGCCCCAGCTCCCAGCCCCAGCTCGGGTCCGAGGTCCCCCTTCTCCTCATGGAGCCTTGGGCTGGGGTCTCTGCAGTTGCTCACAGACAGACACATGTGCATGTTTATTTACAGATTACACACACACCTCCTCCATGGGCACCATGCACAGTGCAGCACATAAACAAATCACGTATAGGGGGTGGGAGATGCTTGTCCACCCCTACCTACTGGGTGATTATTAAGGATGGAGAAGGGCCAAGAGTGGGGCTGGGGTGGTTACCAGGCAGGATCCCATCTCCTATGGCCTGAATGGGCCAGGCCTAGAGCTCAGCCTGTTGGCCCAGGCCCCACATGCCGAGTGGGGGCCCGAGCTTCATGAGCCAGTCACACACCCTTACTCCTTCCATCACAGAACATGTCCTGGAGTCCTATGAAAAGCCCCCACCCATTGTCCTGCCCAGCGAGGGCTTCCAGGTGGACCTGGAGGGCGACTGCCCCCATGACAGCGTCTATCAGCACCTGCTCTACATCCGCCACTTCCTGTGGGGCCTTCATAGCCCAGCCAGTCCTGGCCTTGGAACCACACAGCCAGCCAGCCTTGAGGTAAGGGCCAGAGGCTGGGGCAGGGAGTCAGGGCCCATCTCTGTCATGTGGCATAGAGTGGAGACAAGCATAGGGCTACCTGGGCCTGGAGACGCAGCCAGCAGGAGTGACCTCAGCCCAAGGCTACAGACAGCGGAACACCCCCTGGGTCCTCCCACAGTTTGTATGGTGCAGATTAGCAGATATCCTTTGCCTGGTAGCCCTGGGACCCTGTCTCTTCCTGAGAGGCACTATGCCCATCTGGCCCACCCTCCTCTTGGTCTGACCCTCTGCTTCTCTCCCCCCACCCCAGGGCCTGTACCACACCATCCCCGAGGGGCACCCAGAGGGCCAGGGCTGCCCCCTGGCTACCAGGGACCCCAGCGGAGGAGCCCTCGAAGCTGCCCCTGCACATTCCATTCCTGGTGCTGGGGCTCCTGGGGCACAGGAGCCCCCAGGGGGACGGCAGCCCAGCCGAGGAGGCCACAGGGGCTCCCAGGCAGGGCTCCTGCATACTGACTCCTCCTGCCTGCTCACGCCTCCAGGCACCCCACTGGGCCTAGAGCCTGGGGGCCCCAGCTGGCCTGAGCCTGGTGGCGCCTGTGGAAAGATGCTCCCTGAAGGGCAGAGGAATGGGCTGGACCCCCTGGGTGCAATTCTAGAAGGTGAGGTCCATCGCCGTGCATGCCCAACCCCTCAGACCCCATCTTGGGTCCTAGGTGTCTGGAACCTACCCCCATTGCTGAGGACAGTGGGGTTCAGAGCAGGAGGTAAGGGAGGCCACACCCCTGGGTACTCAAGGTGACCAAGGGACTGAGTGGCCTCTGCACCAGGTAGAGGTGGGTCTCGCAGATCCACCAGATATGTGCTGGGAGGCCAGAAAGCTGGAAGGAGGCAGAGGTAGGCACTACTAGACCTAAGCGCCTGTGAACGGATGCCTCTGTATGTATCCATAGGTAGGCCCAAGCTCAGCACAGGGTCTTCCATGCTCAGGCTGAGTTTGGGGGTCCCGAGCACTGGGATCCCCTGGCAGAGCCCGGCTGGGGCAGCTGCCCGCACAGGTGTGCTCCAGAGCAGGCCTTGGCTCTGCCCTGACCAGGGATCCGATGGGCATGAGCACATCAGAGAGAGAAGGCCAGGCCTGTGGCCCTCGGGGTGGGCATGGCTGGGTTGCAGACAGGGTCTGGTCAGTGTGGGGCCCACAGGAAGGATGAACTCGGAGCCACATGGAAGGTGTTGAGGGAGGAGGAAGGGACAGAAGTAAAGAGGCCTGGGAGGCTCTGCTGGAATACACAGGAGCACAGGAGGCCGCTGTCCTGGCACAGCTGTGGGGCAGGGTGAGGTTCCCCTTGCAGGCATATTGTGTGTGGCCAACAGATAGACACGACCGATACAACAGTTGCTCCCATATTCTGCCCTCCTGTATCCTGACTTCCTGGGGTGGGCACTGTTTTCTAGCCCTGTGGGTCCCTCATACCCCTGGACCCCTCCTTGCCCACCTAGGAGACACAGTGGCCCCCGTGGACGAGTCTCCTGTGGACCCCTCAAGTGGCAGCTCCAGCACTGAGGACTTCTGCTACATCTTCTCTGTGGAGCTGGAGCGAGGCCCCTTGGGGCTGGGCATGGGCCTCATCGATGGCATGGTGAGCGGTCCAGGCCTCCCCTGCCCACCCCAAAGCCTTGGGTTACCATTGCCTCTCCTGTCCAATCTGGTCACAGCTTGTGTGGTCAGGTGGCTGTGGCCATGGCCTGGCCAGGGGAAGGAATGTGGAGGAGGCTGTGGCTGTGGGACATCCTTCTGGGCCTATAGCTGCCCCATTGCTTGCCTAGCCTTCAAGATCTGTCCCAACCTCTGGGGACAATGCTGGGCCCAGTTCTTGCTCAACACCAAACATCCATACTGAATATACAGTCCACACTGGACTTGGGGCCTGCAGGTGCTGAGGGAGGGGCTGCAGGTTCTTGATGGGACGCCAGGTATCAGCGTCTTCTGCTTCACTCCAGCACACGCCCCTGGGCTCCCCTGGGCTCTACATCCAGACCCTGGTTCCGGGAAGCCCTGCAGCAACCGATGGGCGGCTGTCTCTGGGAGATCGAATCCTGGAGGTGAACAGCATCAGCCTGATAGGTGTCAACTACATGAGGTACCACTGCCTCCTCCCCTCCTGACCTTCCCAGGGACTCTCGGGCAGGAGGGCGGGGCTCACCCTGTCCCGCACAGTCCCTCAGCAGCTGCATGGAGGCCAGGGCCTCCCTACCACCCTCTCCCCTTGGTTGGTTTCAGAGCCGTGGATCTGATCCGACACGGGGGCAAGAAGATGCGATTTTTGGTTGCCAAGTCTGATGTGGAAACAGCCAAGAAAATCCGCTACCACACGCCCCTTCCCTAGGCGGGGCTGCAGAATACATCCCTACCCCAGCACCTTGGTCTGCTAGGTGCCCCGGTTCCTTCAAACTATGATCCAGTGAGTTCCTGTTTGGTGGCCTCAGCAGGACCCGCCTGTTCATAATGTACATCTAAGTGTATATTTTATTTATATGACAGATGACACTAAGTAGTAATGTTTCCTACAGAGTTTTTATGTCTAAAGACTTTAACAGAGAAGTATAGATTCAATAAACTATCTTTCCTGTTGTCCTGAGGGCAGTGGTGGACTCAGCCATTTGCACCCAGCATATCTGTGGCCCTGCACAGCCATCCCTCCCTGCCAGCATGATAGGAACCCTGGGTGGTCCCGTCCCCTCCCTGCCGACCACACCTCTCTTGCAGCTACAAGGGCAGAGCCACCAAGCAGGACAGTTCCACCTTCTCATGGCCTTGCTCAGCATGGCACGTACCCAGAGCATAGAAGGCTGAGCTGCAGTGTCCTGAGGACCACGCTGTCCTGTGCCCTCACCCTTCTCTCTGATCACCAAAACCAGCGGCTTGGCCCTAACACCAGGCACTTAATCTGTGGCTGTCATCTACCTGGTCACTGTCCCTTCACCCTGGCAGGCTGCCAGCTTCTTCCACCCACCAGCTGATGGTGCAGGGCCAGGGCAGGGCCCTGTTGGCATCATGGGGAGAGCAGGGCTGGCACACCTTTAAGCTTGGCTAGAGTACAGACTAGGACACACTGGGCATCTTGAGCAGGTTCCACAGCTCTGTGGCCTGGGTATGGGGACCTCTGTGTCTTCCTCACTGTGCAGAGCTGGTGGCCAAGAACAGAGACCCTGGGGACAGGGAGTAGTGGTGAAAAGGGGATCTCCCGGAGGGTGCAGCGCCCTGAAGCAGTGGTGGTGGGGGGACCCCAGTTGCAGCCTCATTAGCTCTGTGCTGCCCCCTACTGAACCCTGCAGGGAGGTACAGTGCGTCTGCCCTAGGCCCTTTGCCAGTGCTGCCACCTCTTGCAAGCTTCAGCCCTCCACTCGGCTTGAACTAGTGGCTCCTGACCAGCTGCCTAAAGTACTGGGTAAAGTATATTTTTAAAAAATCATTTTAGCCGGGGATTTAGCTCAGCGGTTTGGTGGCCTGCCTTGTAAGTGCAAGGACCTGAGTTCAATCCCCAGTACCAAAAAAAAAAAAAAATCATTTTAAATGCATGGTTGGCCCTTAGAGAAAGAGAAACCTTAGAGGCCAAAACTGAAATGAGGGTCCAAGTTCAGAGAGGCTGCGCACCTTACGGTGGCAGATTGCTGGACCCAGTCCTTCACTACTCTGCTTTGGTGACAGTGGCCTGGCATGTAGAGGAGGCAAAGTCCTAACCAATCCCAAGCTAGCAGGCAGACTTTATTGGGGGACCCCAGTTACTCCGGAGCTCCTGGATGGCTGGACAAAGGGCAAGGGAATAGACGACCATGTAGAGCTTATGTGCCAGGCCCTTTGAGTGCACATGGGCATCAGCCTGTGTAACTCCAGAGTTTGCAGATGAGGGGACCAAAGAGCCTGATTTTATAAAGCAGCCAGCCAGTGCCATAGTGCTCTGGGGTAGGTCAACGGACCAAGCATTAAAGCCAAAGCCTTTATCCCCACTCAGTCCTGCACAGCTGGTGCTGCAGTTGTGGTCGACTGCAGCTGGCAGTGAGCTCTCCTGCCTCCTTGATCCCATGGGCCAGCAATGGCCTGGTCTTATAACAGCACATGTGCAGGGGCCAGGCTGAGCCAGAAGCACGTTCTTGTCTTCTGTCACCTTTCAAAGCCCTGCTGGCCAAACAAGTCATACAGCCAGTCTCAAATTCTCAAGTGGCTAAGTACATGCCATCAGTCCTCAAACCACAGCCAGCTGTGCATCTGTGATGCTTTTCTAGATGAAAGACTACTTAAGAGGCTGAGGCAGGAGGATTGCAAGTTCAAGGCCAGCCTGGGCAACTAAGAAAGACTCTTGTCTCTAAAAACAAAAGGGGCTATGGGTGTAGCTTAGTGTAGGTCCTGGGTTCAATCCAAATGATCAGATAAAGATTAATTTGGATGGATGAAAAGATTAATGAACTAGAAGAGGATGTTGAAATTCTTTATGATGCAGTATGGAAAGTTTCCCAGAAAACTTGAAAATAAAAGTTGAGAGATACAGAACAAGAAGGTGCAACTTACATTAGTTAGGGTTCTGAAAGGAGACAGAAAAAAGGGGAGGAGCAGTATTTAAAAAGATAATGGCTAAGATTTCCAGGATTGATAAGTGGCCCAAATCCTCAAGTTCAGGATGATCAGTGAATGCCAGAATCAGTCAAATGAATACACACTTAAGGGCATTATGGTGACTACAGAACCCAGAGACAGAGGCGATCGATTGGACAGCTACAAAGAGCAGGACAGCGCTCCGGAAGAGACCTCTCGGCAGGACGCCAGCCTTCGGAGCAGAGGTGGGGCTGGTGAGCAGGATGGTCTCTTCAGAGGGCCAGGAAAAATCAGTCCAGCCTTTGAAGAATAAGGAGAAGTTTAAAATATTTTTCAGACAAGCAGAAGAGAGAATTTGCTACTCAGAGACCAAAGAGATGTGCAAAACTTGTACTTTAAGGGGGAAAAGTATGTCTGATAGAAGGTCTGAGTTGCAGGAGCAGTGGTAAGCAAAGGGATGTAAGGAAATACTAAACCACTCGTAAAGCAACAGTAGCTCTGACGGGAGGATCTAAGTGGAAAGGAAGCATGGCAGTTCAGGTCACTAATTGCATGTGAACCAGAAGGGGTTGTGATGGAAGGGAAAATGTGAGGTTCTTCCATCGTCTTAGGGGACACTAATGATACTGATTAGCTTAGACTTTCTTTGTAAATGGGTGCTGACATCTCAAGTGTAGCCGCTGAAAGACTTTTAGGAAGACTTCAATTTTCAAACTAAGGGGAAACATGATACAGTAAGAAAAACAAAAACCCAAAGCTGAAAGGGAGAAAACCCCTCAAAAAACACAAGTAGAGGGCCAGGATTTAGCTCAGTGGTGCTGGGCATGTCTTGCAAGTGCAAGGCCCTTGGTGTGATCCCCAGTACTGAAGGAAAAAAATATCAAAAAAATAAATAGAAAAGTAGCACTAAATAAGATAGCGGACATTTATCTAAAATTGAATCATACCATATGTAAATGGACTCTAATGTTAAAAGATGAATTGCCAAACTAGATAAAATTCTACATAATATGAGATAAAAGTAAAATGTAAGAATCTATAAAAGGTAAAAGGATGGACGAAGATACATCAGATGTACAAAGTAATTAAAAGCTCAGTTCACCAGGAAGATGAAAATTCTATTCAGCATTAGAAAACAAAAAACAAACACGAACCAAAACAACAGAAACAGAGCAGGCCATTCATTGAGGGTCATGATGAATTCAGTTTCATGCAGGAGTACGACGAAACCGGAACCTCTAGAAATGAAAACTATGCTTATTGAAATCTGGCAGCAGTTTTATTGGCACACAAGTCACACACCATATAATCTGCCACGTTAAATTTAACAGTTCCGTGGTTAGTATATAAGCTGTCCCTTCACTACAGTCCCATCACTGAAATTTTAGGAATCAGTGAAGTGTTAATTTGGCAGTTAGGTTCAGAAGGAGAGAGGATTAGTGAATTGGTAAAAAAAGAAAACAGGCCTCAATGATTTAGCCAGAATTAAAACCATAAATAAAAACATGGAAAAATTGAGACATGAAGTAAGAACATTATTTCAGAGTATTTTTTTTAATCCCAGCATTAAAAATCACTAATGTCTCTTTTTGATAGGGAAATCTAACAAACCAGATACCCAATCTTCAACATTCCAAGTTTTCACTTTAAGAACTCAGATTTTTCTCAATGGCATTCATTTCCTAGTAGATACTGGCCAAACAGATGGATTCCAAATACGACACTGATGTGCTTATCCTTGAGATTTGCGCTGATGGTAGAAAATCAATGGTGGGTAGCACCAGACTGTCCACCCCCGCACAGGTTCACTTGATGTGTTCTTGCTGAAACAGCGAAAAGTACCTGCTTAAAATAGAAGTCGCGGCTTCCCAGAGCAGGGAGCCGGCCCTAGGGGCCAGGTGTAGAGGCTTTGGACTGTGAGCTGAAGCTCTCACATTTGAACAGACACCACTTTCATTTCAGTGTCCAGCACTCGCATGAACGACCTGACACTGGTACTGAAAGAATGAACAGTCAGCAGTGCGTGTACCCCCGCCCACACCCGCAAGCCAGAGGCCCAGGTGGTCTCGCCTCGAGGCAGGTGAGGCCAGGAAGCATCTGGGGACTTGTGGGCATCCCCGCCCCAGCTCTGACAGCACGCCTCCAGACCCCGTGTGCACGTGTGTCTACAGGGATGTGCTGTTGTTAAGTCCGCATGCTCTGCACGCTAGGTCACCCAACTCTGCATGCACACAAGACAAGACACGCTCGACCAAGAAGCCCCGCTGGGGTAGTGAGCTGGGTCAGGACTTCGCAGACCGGTCAGGGACAGGTTAGCTTTCCTGGAGCGTGCACCTGGCCGGGACGCAGGCACGGGCAATCGGGATCCGGACTCCCGGAGACCACGAGCACGGGGTGGGGGCAGGGGGCAGAACGACAGCCTCACTGTAGACTCTACCAGCAGCCTTACCTGACCTTCACTGGGGTGTAGCGCCACAGGGGCGGGGCACGACAGAGGCTCGCGGGCGATGGCGCCATCTAGTGGCCGAGTTGTCCAGACACTGAGGGTTGCCTGGGCAGGGTCGGCAAAGACTGCACAAGTAGCTGGAGAGAAATGTTGCTTGGCGTGGCAACATCCGTGCTGAACAGTCAGTCAGCACCTGCAGTTTACACTGCCAAGGCCTGGCTGGGCTCTCCCCACCTCCACACCACTGGGCAGAAGTCGTTACCCGGGAGACTCCCTCTGCCTCTCTTCCCCACCCAATGGATGGGTTATTTCTGCATCAGGGATGCTGGCATCCCAGATGTTCTGGAGGTTGGGGCAGGAGGACTGAGACCTCAACCTGGGCCATTAGCTGAGAACTGTCTCACTATAAACAACAGCACGCCTGTAACACCAGCACTCTTGGAAGCTGACGCAGGAGGAACCAAAGTTCCAGCCCCGTGTGGGCAACTTAGTGATTTGTCAAGACCCCGTCTCAAAGAATGGGCTGGGGCTGCATTCTGGCCCCTATTCGTGGTGTGGGAAGGACAAACCATGCCTTGCCTGCCCTGCCTGGCTCTGCCATGTGCTGGGCTCCCTGGCTCTCCCCACGATGCAGGCGAAGAGGGGAGACTTGACATCACACAAGCATTCTGAAGGTTTATTTTTGCTGCATCTCTCCTTGCCCCAGAACAGGGAACAGCAGGACATTGATCAGCTTCCACCGAGCCTGAGAAAAGGCCAAGACCGCCCACAGCTGCTCCACAGTGCAGCTCGGCTGTGGGGACAGGGTTAAAAGACAAAGCCCAGAAAGCTGGAAAGAGGCCAGGCTGAGGCATCGCTGCGGGCCAGGTCCACTCTCCCTTCCACTGCTCTCTTATCATCAAAGCCGCTGGCTGGGACCTAACACCAGGCTTGCAGGCCCAGCCCTTCACTGAGGGCTGCAGTCAACCTGTCGATGTCCACTGGGTCACGGCCCTTTCACCCTGGCAGGAGGCTGGCCTCTCTCTCCACCAGCCGGCTGACCGTGCGCAGGGCCAGAGGCAGGGCTGTGTTGGTGTCACGGTGATAGCGGGGTCGGCACACCTCTGCACTTGGTGAGAGCACAAACTGGGCCACGCTGGGCATCCTGAGCAGGCTCCGCAGCTCTGTGGCACGTGTGCGGATGGCTTCCGCGTCCTCCTCACTGTACACAGAGCTGGTGGCTGCATTCTGGCCCAGGGTCCTCATCTTTGACAGGAACAGAGAGACCCTGGGGATGGGGAGATGGGGGAATCCCAGCCCATCAGCTCACAATACCCCTCATACAGAAAGGCATCTGTGATAAGGTGCAGACCCTCAAAGCAACTGGCTAGGCCTAGCTTCAGCTTGGTACCCACCGCCCACTGGTGAGCCCAGCTCTTGGCGCCCATTCTGCTGTGTCTGGCCACGACCCTTGTGCTGCTGAGGCCACGTCACGATATAGGCAAAGGGAAGACCTCAGAAGCTTCCCCATGGAAAGCGGGGCTCCCTCTCCCTGCTCCCTGCCTGGGTACCTGGGGATGAGATCCTGGCTCCGCGAGGCCAGCTTGGTCAGCGTGGTCATGAGTACTGTGACAACCTGGGGTGGGCACCGGGGCAGGTCGGCTGAGGGACGGGACTGGGTGACTTCAAAGAGCAGGGCCTCCAGGGCCTCAAAGAACTTGTTGATCAGCTCCACGGTGCATCGCCGGTCATAGGTCACTGACAGGTACTCGCCGATGGCCCACACCTAAGTCAGGAGGGGATCAGTGTGCTCAGGTCCTGCTCCGTGGGAGGCAGGAGGGGCTGGTGCCACTTACCACACAGGTGAACATGCCCGCCCTGCTCTGGATGCTGCTCACGCTGCCCACAAGCTCCAAGAGCTCCCGTGCCAGCTCCAGCACCAGAGATGGCTTCTGCTTGCAAAGGGCCAGGAACTGGGAGCTCAGCACCCTGCCGAGAGGGCACCATGCATGCTCTGAGAGTCTGAGAGCCGAAGCGGGGTACAGACTGATGCTCATCTCAATGGCCCCCAGCCTGAGGAGGCTGCTACCTCACTGGGGACAAGGCTGAGCTGTGTTGTCCTCAGTCCTAGGTTGGGAACAGGGAGAGGACAAGCCTGTGTGGCTCTGGCCTTTAGGACAGAGAGGTCAGGAGCATATGGAAAGGGGCCTGAGCTAGCCTGGAGGGCAGGTTTCAGGCAGGCAAAGACGAGAGGACATTTTGCACTGAGGAGAGGGTTGGGGCCTGGGGCCAGGATGACTGGCGTGGGGGTGGGAGGGGGCGATGCTGAGGGTACCTGCCTGCATTGGGCTGCAGGTGGCAAGGACCCACCTGTGCACATGGGCCTGGTACTGTGGGACCTGGTAAAGGGCACTGCTTCTCTCCAGGACCAGCAGTGCCAGCTGGTTGGTCAGGCTCCCGCTGGCAACCTGGTGGTCAAGGGCAAGAAAAAGACTCAGTCCACCTAGCCACAAAAGTCACTTTCTGCAGCCCTCAGGGAGATGAGGCCACCATGGGGTAAGCGAGTGGCTGAGGATAGAAAAGTCATCCAGCTCCTCAGGCACTCCCTCTGGAGCTCAGGAGAAAGGAAGTCCCATGTCTCTTCTGTAGCGCCCCCTTTGTGGCTCCGTAAGCCAGGGCACAGTATGGCTGGGCCAAAGATGGCTGTGGCTCCACTGAGGCTCAGCCCACCTCCCTGGTTGTGGCCTGTGGCCTCATGGGGGCGTGGGAAGTTCCCCAGTGCAGCCAGGCAGGAACCACAGGGCCACAGGAACATGGAGTGCCAGGGACCCACTCCCGTGCTGTGAGCTTGTGTCCCCTGTCCTGGGGATGAGGCTGTGGTGTGAGGCCTTTCCTCATCTCCCTGATCCTCAGGCAGCCAGAGTGTGCGGCAAGACTGGCCTTTTACAGAGGTTAAGGGCAGTGCCATGGGCCAAGCTCTGGGCCAGACCCCTTGGCTGCGTGAGACCCTCCGCTCACCTGGGTTACAGAGGAGAAGAAGGCCTGGAGCAGGGTCGGCACCGCCTGGGCGCACTGGGCCACCCGGGCACAGCTGGTCATGGGCTGCAGCAGCTGGTAGAGTGGCACTAGCCTAGGAACACAGACAGTCACTGAGTGTCCTCCTGCTCACTCCACCTGTGATCTCGCAGCCACCAGGAGAGGAGGGGATGGACACCATGGCTATTAGAGGTCTCCCTTACCAGCACTGCTCACTTGCACTGGGGACCACATGCTTGTAAGGGGCTCAGTGGAGCCCAGGGGACAGGTGGGTGTGAGCTGCACACTGAGAGCGGGGCCACATGCTACTCCCACCCTCCAACTTCCTGGGTGTCCTCATTTCTCCCTCTGCAAAGTTCTGTGCAGGCTCTGAGGTCTGCAGGGCGGGTGCCAGCACTGCACACACGCTCTTCACCCTGCAGACCAGTAACAGGACCAAAGTTCCTCCCGGGACTGGACTGGGACAGTCCTGAGCACCCAGACCTCAGCAAGTTCCACACTGGTGATGGTGGCCTGGCTCAGTCACCCCTGTGTTGCTAGCCCCAGGGCCTTGACCTCTCTGTGGAGCCGCTGGCCTTGGTGCGCAGCAGGTGCTGGAAGAGTGGCTGGAACTGCGGGTCCCGGAAGGCCTCCAGGAAGCCAGGGGTCCTGAGGGAGGTGTCCCAGAGCGGCCTTTCAGATGGCATCTGTGATGACCTGGGGGGAACAGAGGTCCAGAGCCCACTGGGATGCAGCTTCTGACATATGGCCCAGAGGCACCCACTGCTCGGGGTTGTCACTGTGATGTCAGTTCTCAGCTAGGGAGGACCTCTGGCAGGGTTGTAGACAGGCGCAGGGCACAGCTGTCCCGGGAGTGGTGGATGGCTCAGATGTGGGCTCTGCCTCGGGCAGCTCTGCGGGCCACACACACAGCGGCAGCAGCCCACCTGAGGTGTAGGTCCAGGGCGGCCGTCAGGCAGGGCAGATCCAGCAGGGAGTGCAGCATTTCCACGGCTGTGCCAGCGTCCACCAGGGCAGGGAAGAGAGCCACAAACTCAGCCGTGAGGGGTGGGCTGTTCCACGCCAGGAGCTGTGGCAACAGTGTGGCAGCTCAGAGCCCGACCACTTCCACTGCTTCTCCACTGTTTTATTTGCACAAAACTTTGGCAACCCGGTGCTACCCAACCAGTAATTTCTTATTTTTTCTTTAGGAAAAGGACTAGGACACATGATCAAAAATAAGGTGAATGTCAAATACATTTTTAAAAATTATAATAAAGAAGCATTGCTATTAATCCCTCTTAAAATCTTCTCCCCACTTCAGACACACTGATCCCATCATGCTTGCCACTTTCAGAAGCACTCTGGGAATCCTCTTTTGTGTCTGAAGTCGCACTGTTGAGGCTGCCTTGATCCTGACTTTTCAACATGAACCTTTCACAGTCATTGTGACTTCAGGGAAGGGCCAAACATCTGCACCAGCCAGGTCTCGTGACCAAGGTGGCTGAGGACGCACCGTGATGTTTGTACGAACCTGCCTTTCCTCTGGAGGGGCACTTGGCAGCGGCTTTCACCGCGTATTTGACCACCCATCACAAAGACACTCAGAAAAGAGGACTTTCAGAACTGCTTCCAGGGGCAAGAGCCACGGAATGTGTCTCTGAAGTGAGAGGAAGCTTGGAGGGGGATACACGGCAATGTGTCTTTAATAACTTTTTTCTAAATTTCAACATTCATCGTGTACATGGATCACCCTCTGTATAACTCCAAGTGGGTTTACGAGTCATACGTGGACAAACAGGACAGACGGCACGGAGGGCTGAACTTGGCGGGCAGGCCTTCCCTGACAGCCGCCCTACACAACCTTCGCTAGGTGGCGCTCTGGGTCGGGTGGAGCGCCTTCGGTGCCCCACTCATGGCCCGGCTCCCTGCATCCCGCCCACCCCAGCCCCAGAGGGCAACCATGCGCACCTTAAAGAGGTTAGGAAAGCTCAGCTTCAGAAGGCCAAGGAGGTGAAGGTCGAACAGGGGAAAGTTGTCCCGGCAGAACCGGACGACCTCGAAGGCCAGCACAGGTCTGTAGAAGAGCTCAGATGGGAGCCTGGTGAAGAGGTCCTGGTAGATGGCTTCTGAGTCCACGGCAGCTGCCGCCCCTGAAAGGCAGGTCAGAGCTGCAGGCTGGAAACCCCCTTTTTTTTCAGTACTACAGACTGAACCCTGGTCTCTGCACTGAACTACATCCCAGCTTTTTTATTTTTTGAGACAGGGTCTTCCTAAGTCACTAAGTTGCCCAGGCTGGTCCTGAACTTAAGATCCTCCTGCTTCAGCCTCCCAGTTTGTTGAGATTATACGCATGCACCACCATGCCAATGCAGCATGATAATACATCTCTGTTGCTGGTCAAGCCCCCTGGTGTTCTGGTCAGGTCTTCATGGCCATCTGCCTCTAGGACACCTTTAGAAATGCCCCAGACAGGAAAATCTAGTAGAGCTGGACTTAGCCACAGTTCCCTCCAAGCATGAACCTGAGAGACATGCTAAGGAAGCTGTTTGTTTCTCTATGTTTGGGTTTCATTGGCGAAAGGCACAGCGAGGAGCGTTCTCACTCTGACATCAAGTTGACCATGCTTTGTTTTGCTGTTTGATGGAAGTGTGAAGGTAACATACTACAGCACTGGAAATGACCCTTAACTGCAGTGGGGGGTGCCCCTTGGTTTCCTGATGACTGGACCTGCCCCCTGCGCCAGGCTCACCGTGGTTGAGGAAGAACTGGGCAAGTGGCAGCAGTGCCCGCTCACTGCCCGGGTCCTGGCCTAGCTGCCCGCGCAGAGCCTTGAGGCAGGAGAGGCTGCGGTACAGGAAGGAGGGGTCCTGCCGGCACAGCACATCCAGCACCCGCACGGCTTCCACCAGGCACTGTGGGGAGGGGGCCGGCATCAGGGTGCTCAGTGCTCCCCTGTCCCTGCCACCCTGCCCCGGGCCACTTACCGCTTTCTGGAGGTCAGAGTCCCCCTTCCTCAGGGCTCCTGGAGTAGGAAGAAGTCAGCTCCTGAACAGCCCCATGAGAAGGTGGCCTGTTCTGGAAGCTGGAGGTAGGGACAGGGAGAGGCCAGGTGGAGAGGACATGGGATGGGGCCGGGCCCAGGAGATGTGGGAAGGGTACAGGCAGGGCCTGCTGCCGGGGTCATCCTGAGAAACACGAAGGCCCCATCCTAAACTAGCTACTGGGAACTCTGTCTACCTCAGAGTGGGAGCTAAACAAGGTCCGCTGCCCAGGTCCCCACCTTGTGGGACAGATCTGGGACACAATACATGGATGCCAGCATGGGCACTTACGCCGGTTACTCTGCTCAATGAGGCGCTTGCAGTACTCAAAGGCCACTTCCCTTAGACGCTCCTGAGGGAGCAGCTGGCGGCCAGCAGAGGCAGCAGAGAGCACGGAGAGGGTGGAGCCCTCCAGCTCAGACTTGTCCTCTGCAGGAGAAGAGGGGCTCAGCAGGTAGCCACCCTTAGCCAGTCCCAGGGGAACTGGACATGCTGCAGCCAGGTTCCCAGACAGCACAGGTCCTGGGGCCTGCCCACCGCGCTTGGCAGCTTTCACTGCACTGGGAACCAAAGTCCTAATCCCCCAGAAGTCCATGGGGCCTGGGTTGCCAGTGGCTTTTTCTATAAATCAAGTTTGCAGCTGAGAAGGCACTTGGTGAGGCTGTCTGAACACCACACATATACATCTTGCACAAATGCCCCTCTGTGTCTGCCACAGAGGGTCACCAGTATGACCCGTCTAAAGAGGCTTCAGCCTCGGACTGAGGCTCAGCCCAGGTGGCCAGAGATGCAGGGCTGAGCATCAGCCTCCCCAGGTCACCATCCCCTTGTGCCACCCCACAGGGACCAGCACTCTATCCTGGGGACACCTGCTTCCCACCCTCTGACCCGTCGCACCTGTGTCTGGGATGCCTGGGCCCTCAGGGCCACTGAGCAGCAGCCATGCCTGCAGCATGGAGAAGGCCTGCATGTTCAGCCACTGGTCCTCTGTGAAGTGCTGGCCTGTGGACAGCACCGTGAAGAAGTCCGAGGCCACTGCTCCGTCCACCTCGGTGATGGGGCCTGGCTGCAGGAGGAGGGAGGCGGGGCTGCAGGCTCACCAGCTCCTCGGCAGGGTAGGGGGACCCCGCTCCAGTGTGACCGAGGGGTGGGAGCCCAGAGACCTGCTCCTCCCGCCTTGTCCAGTCCCTCCTGGATCCAGGAGGCTGGGGCCACCCCAGGACAAGGAGACACAACACATCAGATGCATGTCTTGCTTCCCTGCAGGCCATGAATGTCAACCACAGACAACCGCAGGGCCACACAGCAATGAGGGACCTTGCTGGCACCAGATGGAAGGCTGGGAGGGGTCAATGCGAACCCACTGGGTGAGGCTGGCACAGGGCTACCCAGGGGAAGGAGGTCTGGAAGTAGCCTGACTCACCTGCCTCGCCCTGGGTGTGGAGAAGAAGCCCCCCGAGTGCGGGATGCCCTGCTGGATACGGGCATAGCGCAGCCAGTCTACTAGCCTCTTGTTGAGCAGGGTGGTCTGGTCTGTGGGGACGAGCGGAGGCGGGGGGTCCCATTGAGGGGAGCAGTTAGACCCCACAGACTCCCAAGCCCCGCAAAGCAAGCCGAGTCCTGAAGAACCCCACACCCAAGGTGTTCCCTGGACACAACCTGACCAGACCACCTGCCCCTCCCAGGGAACATCGGCAGGAAGGAGCTGGGAAGGCGACCCCACACTGGGAAGGGCCCTGGTACCTTCCTGGAGGGTCTCCGGGGCCAGGCCCATGACCTTGGACAGGACGGGCAGGAGGGGCCTGAGACTGGGCCCCTCGGGTTGCCGGCTCTCCAGGACGGTGAAGACGTGCCGGCCCACGCTTCTGACCTCCTCTCTTCTGTCGCCCTGCAGAGCGAACACGAGGTAAATGCCAAGGCACTGACTAGCTCAAGCACCAGAGCGAGGCCCCTGCCTTGCAAGTCTGCAGAAAACTCCCCGAGGAACACTGGTCCCTGGCGCTCCCCTTACAGGAAGACGCCCTGTGGGCTTCAGGACTGAAGGTTCAGCACCCTTTAGCACCCTTGGCAATGACCAGGCCTGTGAGCGAGCTCTGCTCTGTCTGACTGTCCCTCTTCTTCCAGGGCACCTGTTCACGAGAGCGGTCACACACACGTGCTCATGGCAGGCACGTTGGCACAGAGGGTCTAACTGCGACCGTGCAATGCCCTGCAGTCAGTGCAGGGGCAGAGCCTCTTGGCTCCCTGCACCGAACCTTCACATCACTGGCTGCATTCTTAAAGCGAGCAGGTGAAAGGGAACATTAGTGACGGGGAAGAGGTCAAACCCACGTGTGTTTACGGCCCCCAGCAGCACGAGGGAGCCATACACAGCAGCCCCGAGAGCCACAATGTTAATCTGGCTGTGGGTTCTGAATGTTGCTTTCCACTCAGGAAAATGAATTCCCTGAGGGAAAGGGGCTGATTCCAGGCTAGAGCAGGAAGTGAAAGAGAAGGCTGGGTCATTTGGCACCAGCAGTGAGACAGCGGCCACAGCACTGCTAGGTCACTTACGGACTCGGCCATGTGGTCCGCAGAGGCGCAGGGGTCCAGCATGGACAGCACAGCAGTAGTGAGGGTCACAGCAGCACGGAGCCCCCAACGTGAGCCATCTGACGCTCATCCTGACACTAAGTCCAAAGTAGCTGCGGCTACTCAGAGCACTGCAGGGTGGAACCGAGACTCCACCTCCATCGTGTGCTCTGCCAAGAGCCCCAGGAGCAAGGCAGCAAAGAAGCTGCTCCTACACAGGCCGTCCGGCCCACATGCTGCTGTGGTGCTCAGGGTACGGTCTGCAGAAGCTGCCTGCGGTAGGAATGGTGAAACTTCCCAGCTTTGAAGTGACCAAGCTCCTCTGGTGAGGACAGAGGGACAGGAGACCCCACCTGAGGCCATCAGCTTGGTCCAGACTGGGGACTACAGCAAACAGGCCTGGTCTCTTCCATAAGCAGCTGCTGGAAGGTGTACTGTCTGAGGCAAAGGCAGTGAAGCAGACTAAAGAGTGCTAGGCCTGCACATGTTCCCAAATGACAAAGCGAGGACAGCAGAGGGACAGAGTGGGTGTCCCCTACACCGCCCTCTGCCATCACAGCTATGAAGGCGGCCATGGAAGGACCTGAGGCTACTGGGCAGTACTGTGGGCAGCCTTGTGGTCACAAAACGGCAAGGCTGCTCTGGTCCTTCTGGCTATGCCTGCTGAGGGGTCAGGCGTGGTGTGGACAGGCCCTTCAGAGCAGGCCCGAGCTCGCTGCTGAGGGCATCTCCTCTCAACGAAATCCTTGTCTGGTCCCTGTCAAAGCAGCATGGCAGTTGTCTGGGACCGCTAGAAAGCAGACCATGGCCACTGCCCCCTTAGCCTCACCAGCACCACCACTGAGTATGTCTATGAATGTCGCAGCCCAAACCCCACAGCCTGCCCCAGCCTTCAGCAGAGTCCAAGGAGGTGGGGAGGGAGCAGGCAGGTGCAGGCTGTTCTAGAATCAGCTGAGCACTGGGGGCCCATACAACTGTGTTACCTGGGCCAAGAGCACAGACGCTACCAGGCTCAGCTGACGGGGGCTCTGGATGTGATCACAGGACAGGGTCAGGCTGTTGGAGGGTGACATCTCTCTCAGGATAGCAGCACAGAGGACTTGGACCTGCTCAGAGCATGTGGGCAAGGACAGAGTGGCTTGCAGCAGGTCCACACACGTCTTCTCCAGCCTGGAAGGTGAGACCCAGGTGGGCCACAGGTCATGACTGTGTCAGGGAGGCCAGCCTGGGCTCATGGGGCAGAGGGACAGAACATTTCCCTGTGAGGACCCTGGGTATGAGTTTAAGTAAACAGAGGCTCAGATGCCTCTGCCCAGGACTGGCCCTGCACTCACCTGCGGGTGTACTTGGTGGCTGAGACGATGAGGAAGAGTCTTTGCAGGGCATCCACGGTGGCTGGTCCCAGGTCCTCCTGCAGCAGCTTGCTGACTCGAGAGCAGAACCTCTGCAGCTCCTCATCCTGAATCTCCCTGAGCAAGAAAAGGGTGTCAGCAGCTAGCCAGCATCTGACCAGGGACCTAGCTACTTCCGGCGGGCAGGGGGAACGACTAACCTAGCAGAGTGTGGGGTGTATAGGGCCACTGTTACCCCAGCCAAGGACACCTTGAGGTCAGTTCAAGGAGCACCGGGACTGAAACCTATCACTCCTACTTCACTACAATCCTTGTGGAGATGCACCCATTCCAGTTCTGTTTTTCTAGCAGAACTAAAACTTTTTAGTAGTCTCACTCAGGCACGGCATGGTGGTGCACACCTGTAATCCCAGCACTCAGAAGGCTGAGGCAGGAGGAATGCTGGGAGTTTGAGACCAGCCTGTGCTACATAGTGAGTTCAAAGCCATCCTGAACTACCTAGTGAGATCCTGAACTACCTAGTGAGACCCTGTCTCAAAACATTAGAAAACAAATAAAAAAGGAGTATCACTCAAAAGAAAAATTTATCCAACTTGCTTTTCAAAAAAGGCTTCAATGAGAATTTTACTTCCAAAAAGCAAGAATACATAAAGCTTATATATTAAAGGGCAAATGTTATAGCAGGTTATATGGTAAGCCTGATATATTCTACCCAATACTTGGTTTAATCTGAAACAGTATCTAGTAAGCACTGAGAAAAGGCACTGACAGTTTCACCACGGAGACCTGTTTTGGGGATTTTATTCCAGGCTAAAAGACACTAAAAGGCACAAAGTGATGGGAGTTACAACACGAGGCGCCTCTGGGGGCTCTCTGAGAAGGGTCACTGTCCCTCTCCACAGGCCCCAACTCCTCAGGCCATGGCTGAAGGCTCCAAAGCATCCTCCTCACATGGCCAATGGGTCCAAGCTCATACTCAAACCATTCTGGGCCCAAAGCTGCTTGAGCTCAGGACCTAGGAACTGAGAGGAGACCTGGAGCCCAGGGTCTGGGGCTGAGGTCCTGGGTGGCTGTTGTGACCCTGCTCCTCCCTGCAGGTGGTCAGGCGCACCTCAGGAATTCCCCACTAGCCCTCATCCCTGCCTGGCCTTCAAGCTGGCCAGTCATATTTAGGCAAAAGAACAGGTATAGGGTGAGAAAGGGGACATGAAAGAGGACAAGGCCAGCTCTTTAACTGGGGTCATGATGTTGAACTCCAAGTGCTAAATGAGACTGAGGAAGAAGCAACCAACTGGCTTGGCCAACCGTAATTCTCACTCCCGGTACGGACATACCCTGCGCCCCAGCATAACCCTTTCCATGTGCGCTCCAGACACCAGGAATCCCAACCGCAGCTGCCCTGGCCTGCCTGGCTCAAGCCACACTCCTGCTGACCCTCACAGGGCTCTCTCAGCTGGGACGCTCCCTCCTAGGGATCCTCTGCGGGAATAAGGCAGGTCGGGACCTTGCTGCGCAGCACCTTCATTTATTACTAGTCACTGTTTCCAATTCCCTTCTCCACCCTCACTTCCCACACCTCAAAAACATTCAAAAGAAAACTGAAATTTCCCCTCTCAAACCTGACCTAAAAAGCCAGGCGTGGTGGCTCATGCCTTTAATCCCAGCACTCAGGAAGCTGAGGCAGGAAGATCACTGTGAGTTTGAGACCAGCCAGCCTGGGCTACATAGTGAGTTCCAGGTCAGTCTCAACTACATAGTGAGACCCTGTCTCAAAAAACAAAACAAAACCTGACCTACTTCTGCTATTCTTTTTTTTTTTTTGCTGTTCCAGGGATCAATCTCAGGACCTTGCACTTACAAGGCAGGTGTGGTGCCAGTGAGCTAAATCCCCAGCAGTTACCGTGCCACCAGAAATCACAGTTTAAAGTCTACCATGGAAACTAGATCCTAATAGGTTAATTGCCAGTCCAAACCCTATCCAAGACAATGTGAGCTGGGAATGGTGTTTTGCGGGCTTTGGTCTCCTACCAGCATTCTGGGCTGAGCAGGTCGCATTAGGAGTGGGATGCATGTCTTTCGTTTAACGTGCACATCAATATGGTACCGACAGCTAATAAAGACAGTGGGCACTGTGCTGGGAGGAAGAGGAGAGCGAGCATGGGGCGCTTCCACCAAAAGCTCCCTAAGAGCTGGGGATTTAGCTCAGTGGTTCTGCCGTCTGCCTCCTGCCTCCCAAGCGCAAGGTCCTGAGTTTGATCCCCGGTACCAAAACAAAAACACAAACAAAACTCCCTAAGAAATTCTCAGAGGTTATTTTGACCAGAAGTTTGTCCTGGTCAAAGACGTTTGCCCCGGGACCTTGCTCACTGCAACCTTTGAGACCTCGGCCACGCTAGTCTTTCCCACCAGCTGGTCCAACTCTCAAGGCTTGCTGGTTCATTTGCTCTTTGTTTACCAAAGGCTTGAGGTTCCAGCAGCATTTCCCGCCTTAAACAAGTAGCATCTAATCGGCCTCTTTGGAAGGAGCCACAGACTAGTTACTGAAGAGTCCAGAGGGGGCCTGGGACCAGGGAGCAGTCGCTTTACGTGACATCCCTCTCAGGCCCCGAAGCCCCAGGTCGGGGTCGAGCTCTGGGCCAGCTCCCTCTGCTCTGGACTTCCGGTCGCTCCTCCGGCAACGCTGCTCAGCTGTCGCCTCCCTCGACCCTAACCCGCCGGGCCAGCAGCCACCTCGTGCCACCCCGTTTCGTGGAGCGGGTCAGTCGATCCCCGCACCCGGCCAGGGGAAGAGCACCTGCCGCGCACCTGGCTTGGTGAAGCAGGCTGTCCTCGCCCGCCGAGAACATCTCCCCACTACGCAGACGCCAAACCCAGAGCCAGGTTCGCCACTGAGCCCGTCGGCTTCCAGGATCGCCGCACGAGCTGCATCACGTGAGTGGGGCGTGTCTCGGCGAAGGGTCTTTGGCGTGGAGCATTTTGGGGCGGGACCGGAAGCGCTCGTTTGTGGTTGGTCCTGGCAAACTCCCGGGTGTTCCCGGAACCTTGCTTCCAGAGGACTTCTTCACGCCGGAACAATTTGCGGAGGCTCCTGGCGCGGGAGGTGTCTTGAATCCGAGGGGACCCGTCCCCTTTGCCCCGTTCCGGTTTCTGTTTCACGAGTGTGTGACCGCTGTGCGGAGTATGGCCTGACCATTTTCTCAGGCGGCTAAAGGCAATTAGTGTATATTTTTAAACTGTTGTTTTTGGGGTGGATCTGAGGTCTGACGCTAAGGCCATCTGACCGAGGTGTATCCCCAAGCTTCACCCTCTGCTTTTAAAATTTTGAGACAGTGTCTAAGTCCCTAGGTTGCTCACGCTGAGCACGAACTTGAGGTCCTCCTGCCTCAGCCTGTTTTAAAGCTTCCTTTATTAGCATATATCATGAGCCATATGAACTGCTTTAAATGTTGGACTCACCCCACCATCATCATAGGCCGTCGCTGTGTTTATCAGGGGAGGCACCAAGCTTAGAGAGGATCGTTTCTATTCTGAACGTGTTGGATGCTGGGTTGTGCTGGACCCTGGCGATAGGATTCCACCTGCAGAGTGTGCGACACTAGACATTCCAGCAGCCACGATCCATGACAAACGCTGTGCTGCTTTCACTGGGTAGCGATGGGACTGAAGGAAAGCCTCCCTAGGGCGCTGGGGCCTAATATGGGTAGGGTGTCCAGAGGGTGCTGAGGGCAGCCCCTCCTGTGGCCACAAGGCGGAGAATGGATGGGAGGGCCAAGGAGAAAGATGCTGAGCAGGAGAGGACAAATAGGCAGATTCAGTTACCATTCTGGGGTGGGATTTGTAGGCTCTGATGATCAATGGATTTGGGGACAGGAAGAGAAATGGGAAAAATCAAGGGCAAAAGCAGGTTTCTCTTGGGCATGGGGAGATCCAACTCCATTGGTATTGGAGCAGAAAAGGAAGTTTGTGGAGGTTTGGGTGGGGAGACAAGGTAGGGTAGGGAAAATAAAAATGATTCAGATGTGATATGTCTATCAATCTAAGATTAATTAATTATTATGTATGGAAAACATTTCTATTTTTTAAAAAAGTTTGCAGTCATTGAATGAGCAACCATGAGCCCTGGCTGGGCCAGACTCTTAAGTTCTGAGAGCAAAGTAAGTAGTGTGAATGGGGGTGTTCTTGAGATAAGGTGGTCAGGAAGGGATGAACAATAAGACACCAGAGTGGGAGGAGAGGGGGGCTGTGGGCTTGGCAGTACCGGAGCAGATTCCAGACATGGTTTTGAAATGCCCTGGCCATGTCCCTGGAGATTCTTGAGGCCCCTGGTGCTGAGGCCAAAGAGTTGGGGCCAGCTGGCAAGGACAGCCATAGTGCTGTGGGTGACCCACAGCACCCTGAGGAGCCCCTGTTGTGGAAGGGAACAGGTGGAGAGGATAACCATGGCCATCTGTGGGATCCTGTCTGCTAGGGTAGGACCTAGACATGGTGCAATGCTCACATCATAAAGGAGCTTGGCAAGTTTTTACATTTCTGCAAAGCAGTAGTAAACTGGAAGGTAACTGACTGTTTGTAGGGGACTGTTTTGTGGTCGTAACATGTGATGGCTGATTTCCATCCAGACCATTCCCAACTCTCTTGAGGTGCCCAGTGTCCCTGCCTACCATCTCCACTCCCCCAGAAGTAACCAGTATCCTCCATCTGCATTCCATGCAGAGGAACCACATAGGATTTAGCCTGTGTTTATTTATTGGTATATTTTATTTTTGTGTTTTTTGGAGGTAGGGTCTCACTTTGTAGTTCAGGCTGGCCTCAAACTCACAGTGAGTATCGTGCCTCAGCCTCCTGACTGCTAGGATCACATAATTGTGCCACCACGTCTGGAGTGTTCTTTTGTGACTATCTGGCTTGTCTCCAGATTTTGGAAATTACGAATCACACTGTAATACACACTCTTGTCTTTTATGGGGACATGCACCTATTCCTCTGTTACAAACTCAGGGCAGCTCACTGTTGAGAACTGTGTGCCAGATTAACTGATCTCTCTCTCCATCCCTTTAAGTATGTTTCTTATGTTCATATAAGATGTTATCTTAAGGTCTCACTAGTGAAAAAGTTCTATTCAGAAACAAAATTTTTAGAAACTATAAAGATAAAAAAGCTAGCCATTCCTCAGAGGAAATGTCATTATTCCCACTCACGTGTCATTTAGCTAAAATCTTAAAACAATGAATCTGTAAATGTTACATTTAGTGCCTGCGGTTAGAATCTTACATCAGAAATGTAGCCATTCAAAAGACCAGGGAGTGTAGAGTTCAGCCATCACTGTGGACAGCTAAGTCTGAAAAAGCTGGGTGATCTGTGAGCTGAATGAGATAATGGGTCATGTGCACAAGTGTCACATGACCTCAACAGGAGAGAGGTCTAGAAAACATGGGCCTTTCTAATGGCCCAGTTAGAGGCAACCTGCAGCAGAAACATCCAGTGTCTTGTTGCCTGTCTGGGGATCCTTGGAAGAGGGGGCTGGCTTCACTGGGGGTGACCCGTGGAGGAGCATCTGTCTGGGACTTGATGGATGTTACAGGCCTGTGGCCACCAATGAATGCGGTGTGTGTACCCAGCCTCGTCTACCCTGCTGACCTCCACCCATCCCACTACCTACAATGAGCAAAGCTCTACTGGGAACACAGATGGGTAGGAGTTGTCCCCTGGCTGAGTGCTGGAGGGACCCAGTCTACCCAGGGGCCCTGTGGGCACTTTGAGACTGCACCTTGGAGCAGGGGACAGCACAGCTGGCTCCTCCCTGGCCATGTCTGAGGGGCATGTGTGCTGTCTTCACACACTCGTGCTTAGGGAACTCTCATGGGGCTCAGATGTGCCCGCACCCAGCCCTCACAGGCACCTATGGGAATCATGTCTGTCCAGACCTCTGCTTCTTCTTGGGAGCCCAAGGCTGAGGATAAATGGGGGGAAACACAACCCCCCAGGAGTTGCCCTTCAACCTCCGGAGTACCTCAGGTGTGAGGCTCCCTCACTCCAGGGAGAAGAGATCTCTGTCCAGGCTGTCTGTCCATCCGTCTCTCCCCCACCACCCACTCTCAAGGACCACATGGAGCCATGGTGTCATTTCTTTAATATATAATTTTTCTGGTTATAGAAACAAATGCTAAGAGGAGAAACAAAACTTCCCCATCCACATACAACAATTTAATAGATAAAAGAACAGTTAAATGAAAAAAAAAGTAGAAATTTTAAACTTTGTTATAGTTTTAGAACATTAACGTCTGATACAATTAGAAATCACATTCAGATCTCAAACTTTAAAAAAAAAAAAGTATGGCTCTGTAATAAAAAAATACTGTATCCCATTTGAAATGAAAACCCAGGCAAGCTGCTTTTGACGTGGGTCCACTGGCTCTTCTGACTCCAGCGCTTCTGCCTGGGGGACCTGGGACGCATCCCAAGCTCTAGAACCAGAATTCCCACTTTACAGGATACCACTGCTTTTTAAAGCACTGATTATTAAACGTATTGTGAAAATACTTTAAGACAGCCACTGTAAAATAAAGAAAAACACACACACACACACACACACACACACACACACACTACCCGAACAACACCCCCCCCATCAAATTATTTTTACAGAATTATCATTCAGGTAAGAGAAAATCTCAGAGTTGGCTTTAACCCTTCCCTCCCACACTGAGTCTAAGAGAAGACTCAGCTCTCTCCTCCCTTCCTGTCACTTTCTCTGGCAACAGGGTTCAAGCCACATAAGTTAAGGTGTATTAGGAATCCAGAAAGCCTCTAATCCAGAAAGTTAGGAAGGAAGAAAGAGAAACTTAAAATGTGTGATTTTAAACCCCATTTTTACTGACTATAAAAAAATCTGGACCAGCTAACCCAGAGAGTCAGAGGCTACAGGCAGTTAGAATCCACACAGCCAGAGAAGGGAACAAAAGCAAAGAATCTATCTGGGAGCCACAGGGCTCCTCCCAGCTCATTCGAGCCACACAGGAGCCAGGGGACAGAGCTAGACACTCTAGACAGGGGTAAGTGCTATTACTGTGGGGAAGAAAACCCACAGAGGGACGGAGCGTATCCAGCCATTCATGAAGTGTGCCCTCTTGGGTCCAGCTGCCTGCACTGTTCAAACTATTCCAGAAACAGATCCCCAGTAAAAAAAGCAGAACTCTTCTGAATCTCCTCTGACTCAAGTGGGTAAGGTGCGAGGACGGGAGGGTCACTTAGCAACCTCTCCAAGTGTCCTTGGGAGCCTCTGGGCGACCAGAACCCAAAGGCCATGACCTGAGGATGCCGCTGGCTCATGGGGGTTTTGGGGTCCCATGCACTAGTGTCCAGCTCCTTAACCCAAGGGCAGGGCTCACCTGCCGCTCAGCCTGGGCCCCAGGCTTTTCTCATACTTTCATGGTTACAGATGACTTAGGTGCAAAGAATGGATAAGAGTGTTAAGTTGAGGTTCTCCCTGCAGAGAAAAGGACATCTAGAAGAAAGCTCTTCACTCTTCTGTAACAATGAGCAGCCCTATCAGCCATCAGCATAAATCAAAGAAGCTAATAAGTCCCCAAGGCTCACCCAGTGAAAGGAGGGATCTTCATTTCAGTCTGGCACTAGAATACATTGGAAGTTCTCATTGGGGTGGTGGGCCGAGCTTTGGGGTGGAACTCAGTCTTTCTCTGGGCCTTGATGTGACCAGTAGTGACCTCCAGCAGTGACTTCCCACCTGCACCTCTTTCTTGTTGCCCTCTGGTTCTATTTTGCCTGAAAACCTTCCCGTGACCTCCAGGGGAATGCCACCCACTTCACATGCCCAGAAAACACCTCTGGTGATGGGCAACTGGCTGCCACGCTGTGGGGCAGCCCTGACTGGCCGCTGTACCCTGACCCCCCAGGATGTAGTTTGGAGTTTTCCCTCCAGCAGCGGAGCTGGGCCCTGCAAAGTGCAGCCCAGTCCCACTGAGAGAACAGCTGGCCAGGGTACCTGCAGCTGCTGGAATGGCAATAAGCCGCTCATGTGAACTGTTTATGAACCTCAGTGTAAAATCATTTTCCTACACGAAGTCAGTGAAATGGGCCACTATTTATTTCAGTTCAGGGAAAATATCCACAGTCATCTCACAAAATCCCACTCTGCCAAGCAGCTGTGACTTCAGGGAGGACAGAGGAGAGATGGCAGGTCCCAATTCGACAACCTTCTCCATCCCACACTTGGACAATTTGAACCTCGGGCTGCAGCAGGAAAGGGGGTGCCCGCCAGGCACCAGTGCCAATCCCTGGCCCAGGCACCAGTGGAGCAGCTTTTGGTACTGAGAGCAGATGCCAGGGGCAGGTGTCCTGGTCCAGACCTGAGCATGAAGAGCAGACACAACGACGGGGAGTGTCCTGAACGCTCAAGACCTCAATGTGAAAACAAGGCCCAGAGAGAGGAACTTGCAAAGTATACGGGAGCTGTAAGGGAGAGAAGCGCACCGTGAAAAGAAGCCAGAAACTGGCTGGGGACCCCTGTTATATTCTATATTTTGCCCTTACCTCAAAGAACCAAAGTACACAGAGGGGACCCTCCAGAGCTAAGTCCTCAGATTCTGTCTTCATAGCAGCAATTTGAACAATCTGTATTGTTCTTATTAAATAATATTGCTTCTAGGCAGAGGTATTCTAGAGGAGGCCAGAGACCAGGCTGCGGTAAGCACACTCCCATCTGGAGCCAGCAGCCTGCGGTGGGGATACTCCTAGGCTCCCACAGCTCTTTCTTACAGCCTTGCTCGCTGTGTACTCTGGAACAAGCACCACACCACAGCATGCAAACAGTCCCAGGGGCGCAGGGCTGCAGCACAGGCAAGGGCACCCATCCCAGGGATGGCTGTGTCCCTCAGACCACATGAAGCCGCTTGGGGGCCAAGTGGAATCTGAGGCTTTTGAAGAACAGCAGTGTCCCCTCCCTCCAGATGTATCAGTTTCTATGCTCTAAAAGCTATGGGGAAATTATTTCTTTTCTAACGTTTTCTCACATTCAACTAAGTTCTTGTGTTTCAAGTGAGGTCTGGTCACTGTCTCCATAGAGGAGGACACCGACTCCTAAGCCAGAGTGTAGCTCTCTCATCCTTTTGAATGGAATCACCCAGAGTAGAGGTCTCCATCTAATAGGGACCTTCCACGGGCTCTCTGGAGAGTCCCCACGCACAGTGAAGGTCCCTGGAGGACCCGTTTCAGTGGAAAGACAAGTGCCTACTGAGTGACACCTGTGACCCGAAAGCAGCCTGTCACCAGGCCTGAGGGCAGAGGAGCCAGGGTGGCCTAGAAGGCAGGGAGACAGCCATCCTGGCTGGGGTAAAGACCATCTGCTCCCTCCCTACTCGAGACACAAAGAACAGGACCTGGGATTATAGGACACCCATCCCAGCAACTCGGAAGTTCATTTCCCCCTATTCCATTTGGCTTAGTTCTAAATCAGAGAAACAAAAAGGACAAACAGACAACTCCAAAGTAGGGAAAAACCAGGCCTTGAGGCAGGCTGAGGACTGCAGTCTCCACACCCTCTTTTGAGTGCTGGTCCCAAACTCTGTGGTCTCCCCTTTCCCAGGGCATGTGGAAACCTCTTAGGGAGGATTTGGGGACAAATGTCTTTGAAGCCAGGCCATGCACTGTATGATTTCTGAGGATCTGGAGCTCCTCAAAGGTGCTGAGCACAAGGTGGCTGCATGCAGTCCTCCAGATGCCAGGCTGATGCCCTTGGGCCTCCCTATGACCCAGTTGTGGTCAGTGCCACAGTGGCAGAGAGCCCTTCTCATGCTCACTACTACATAGCTTGTCTCAGTGGGATGCACTGGAGGGGAGTGGACACCAGTCTCCATCTGGAAGGCAGTGCTCATCAGATAAGCTGAGGCTATGTTGCCCTTCTTGGTCACCTCTCCACCCCAGGCCATGCAATGCTAGGGGCCCTGTGTGACCCAGCAGGTCCTTGGGCTCCACTGCTGCAGTGATGTTGGTCCTGTGCTCATTGCTGGTAAGCTCTCCCTCAACCATGAAGAAGGCTGCTTGAGCCCTTGCCTTGTAGAGGGTCTCCTGGCACTGGCTGGGCTCTGGCCCCGAGGATGAGCTTGGGGGAGGCCCGTGCAGAGGCCTGACACGCACCAGGGGACCGGGTGGTCAGTGATTATGGCTCTCGGCTCAGGGTGAGTTCCAACGCAAGGCAGGTGTGCTGCCTGCTGGGTGATCAGAGACCCTCAAAATGCTCACCCATACACCCGCAGAGCAGTCCTCCTAGGCAGGGGCCTCTGCTCCACACCATCTGCCCTGACCCCAAGGGTCCCTCCCCTCATCCCTCTCCTTGGTCGGGACCAGGTCTCTGTCCTCCCCAACTCCATTCCTACCCACTCTCCTGGCACAGCATCTGCATTACCAACAGAGGACCGAGACCAGAACGTCCCAGAAGCCAGGACAGCACACAGGTTGGAGCCAGACCGATGAGACCCTGCAGCCAGGCACAAATGAGGCCCAAGGAAGGGACAGAAGCAAAAAGAGACCCTAATGTCCCTTGCCACACACAGTTCCTCAGGCCCCCTTACCCCAACCCCCTTCCCCTGACCCACACATGCACCAGACACACAGGAGACAGCATTTACAAGAGGGCAGGGTTGGAAACCACTGGTAGGGAGGGAGCCACTTCTGCGTGGCACCATCTGGTGAGATCAGCTGCTGTCACCTCACACCTGCTTCTCTAACACTTTACCATGGCTACACAGATATGGACCTCATAACAGAGCTTATTTCCCATTCAAGTTTAGTGCCATAGAAATGGGGAAGGGGGCTTTAAAAAGCAACAGGAGAGGGATTTTACCCAGTGGGGCAGAAGGCCAAGTGCCGGCAAACACAGCTTGAGGCTGTTCCATCGCCTACCAGCCCTGTCCCAGCCTGGCTGCAGTCTGCCTTCTGGCCCTACCTTGGCATCACTGAGAAAGGCAGACCCTCCATTAAGGTGGCGCGTGTCCTGCTGGATCTTCCATGGACCACCACTCCTTCTAGTGCTGCCCAGGACCTGATTTCTCTGTAGCTTTTCCATCAGGCCCAGGGAAGGCGAAGCTGCCTGCTGATGAGAGGCTGTGATGCCAAGGACAGGATGTGGCCACCATCCTTTTGTTCCTAGGCATGATCCACCTCCAGAAGAAGCCACAGAAGAGGGACTGGGTGCTTGGAGGCCAACTTCTATGCAGATATGGCGATGTTTCCCTAAAACATCCCCCAGGAAGAGCCAGGGCATCTCACCCTCTCCTGTGACTGAGGGGGTCAAAGCAGGTGGCTGGTTAGGACACGTGGAGGGGCTTCCCTAAGGGATCCAGACTCCTTGATGGATCCTGTCCTTTGTTTCTCACCCTGTTAACTGACTCAAGGCCCCAAGTTTGACGCAGAAGAAACAGTCGCAGAGGACGGATCTGGGGTGGTCACTGGAATGTGGATGGAGAGAATGTGAGCAGACTGTGTCCACTGGCCCGAGCATCGAGCCATCAGAGGCTGGGAACTTGGGGCTCACCCCTCCTGCCTTCCAGCGATGGGCACGTGGGTCCGTTCTAGAGCATTCCATCTTGATGCCAACGCAGGAGCCGCTAATCCTTCTTGGAGTTATCAGACAGGGCGGCAGTTGGTGCTCCTGGGGGCTGATGGCAGGGCAGCCACAGCTACTCAACTGTCTATGGATGGAAGCCTCGGAGACACAGAGCTCCTCACGAGCGTTTGGCTCCGATCTGGGAGAAGCCTGAATGCCATGTCTTAACATAGCAAGAAATACTTGGGGTCCAAAGCCAAACCAGATAACCCCTCCCTGTCCCAATTAATGCCAATATTTTCTATGCCATTTTGGGGTAAAAGACACCAGAAAACAGTTTGCAATTTGGCAGTTCCTGCCTTTCTCTGGCCTATTCCCAATCTAGAATAGGAATTTGTTCCCAATCTGTCTTCCACAGAAGAGGCCTTGGTCTATACACGGCTGCGCTTCTGTTGGGTCCCCCAGGGACACAGACTGCTACCTTGGTAAAGCTCTGAAGCCAGGACGTGGGTCGAGGTCTTCCTGGTCACAGGCAGGCATCTTGCTGGGTTCCTGAGGTTCTGGGGCTTGATCTTCATCCCATGCCCTTGACTAAAGGGCTGGGGAGAGGAGATGGTTCAGAGGGAGAAGGAAATAAACACACGGAATCCCCAGAATCATACAATCAGTTGTCTGAACTTGTTTATGTGTTTTTGTTTCAAACCGCAGAAGGACAGGAGATAAATGGGCAGGAAGAGTGTTCTGGTGTGGTGGCCGTAGGGCGGGCAGCTTCAGGGCTTCCCTCCCATCTGTTGGAGCAGCCTTTGGCTCCTCTCGGGCTCCTGTGGCACGAGTCCTACTTCACCCTTGTGTGTGTGCATGCAGGTAACTTCACTCCCCGGTGCCTGCGCCCTGGGGGCCGGCAGCTGCCATCACCCCAGACTGTGTGGTCGCTGTCCCACCGGGCTCCTCTACCCGGGACCGTTTGACCTCGGGCTCCCCAATGGAAGAAGCTGAGGTGGCAGTAGAGGTGGCCACGGTGGGGGTGGCACTGGTGGCTGCTGTGACCACTGCTGCTGGCTCCTCGGGCCCCACCTCACATACCCGGGTGACCACCACTGGCGTGGACGAACTCGCCTGGGCTGCAAGGAGCTGCAGGGGGCTGGTGAGGGCTAGGGTGGAGAAAGGACAGGTTACATAGGGACCTGGGCTCAGTCAAATGAACAGGAACTGAGCTTGCCAGTCCTGGGGTGCTCTGTCCCAACACCCTCCAGCCACCAGGTACTGTGGAACAGGGCCCATCTCTCACCTTGAGTACCCAAAGGTGGCCTGCCCCAAACCATCCCACCCCACTCTGTACCCATGCCCCTGTCGGCTGACTGGCTTCTTCCTCTGGTCTCCTGTCCCACCCAGTACGTATGAGCCTGGCAAAGTGCCCGACACACAGTGGGTGCTCAATAAACGGGCTGAGGCAACTGGGTGAGGCTTGGGAAACTTCCTGGTGCCAAGCTGACCTCGCACCTGGGGCCGGGGCCTCACCGTAAGCACTGGTGGTTAAACTGTTCGTGGGAACCGCATGCTTTCCATTCTGAGTGATGGCTCGGACGGGGAGATGGTGCTGCCCGATGGTCACTGGTGTGGCTGGCTGCAGGATGGTGACGGTGTGTCCAGGGACCCCAGGAGCCATCTGGCTGGCCACTGTCTGGATGACCCGGCTGGCCGCAGGGATCGTGGCAAAGGCAATGGTGGGCTTCTCCTCCAAGCCTGTGGGGCACAGAGCAAATCAGAACCACACGTGGTGGTGGGGTGTACACAGCTGGAAGCACTTTCTAGCATGCACGAGGCCCTGGGTTCCAGCCCCAGCACCACAAAACCAAACAAAACATACCAGGCCACAAAGGTCAGGGGTTTGCATCGATGATGTGGAAGAGGGCCTGCCAGTACGTGTGTATGTGTGCACACATGTACACACCAAGCGGCACTGGGAAAACTGCTTCTCAAAGGAAAACTGCGCTGACAAAAATGTATTTCCAAAGGAAAACAATAAGGTTCTGAGAAAATATGCCTTAAACTTTGACCAAACCAAATTTAATCTAAGAAAGAAAAAAATGTCATTTGGAATGAAACGATTTACTTTCAGAGAAGTAATAGCTTTCTTTCATCAAGACACAGTTTTCACTGACGGTATCAAAATAAAAAGTTACCACCAAGACGGATTCAGCAAATGAGACGCTGCCTGGACAGAAGTGCTCCCAGGGGATCCCTGACAGGCCCAGTGCTGTCCTATATACCCACAGACGCCTGGGGCCCTGACTTCCTGTAGGGATTCTCAGATACTTTTCTCTTCCAATGCCCCCTGAAGATTCTGGCTCTAGTGGGCTTATCCTCTAGGCTTATTCTTCCTTTTGCAGGAGATGTTAAATTCCAACTGTATGCAGGACCCCACCTGAAGAAACAAAATCTAACCTAAGAGTCATATGCACTTGAAGAACAAGAGAGGAGGCTGCCTGGGACAGACGATGCTTTAAAAGGGCACGCTTAGCCAGGCATGTTGGCACAGGGCTGTAAACTCAGCACTCTGGGAGGCTGAAGTGGGAGGATCACAAGTTTGGGCCCAGCTTGGACAACTTAGCAAGACCGTCTCAAAATATAAAATATAAAAGGGGTTAGGGAGGGCCGGGGATATAGCTCATTGGTACTGCACCTGCCTGGCAAGTGCAAGACCCTGAGTTTGATCCCTGGTACTGGAAAAAGAAAAAAGAAAAGAGCTGGGGATTGAACCCTGGGCCTTTGCACTGGAATACATCTCCAGCTCTGAAAGAAAAAAAAAAAAAAAAAAAAAAAAAA